TCCATCCATCCATCCATCCATTCATCCATCACCTATCCACCCAACCACCCATCCATCCATCCACTCGTCCATCATTAGCTGTTTGGGATGCTGTTGAGTTGATTCTGACTCAGAGTGATCCCATGTGACAATGAAGAACTGACTGATAGAGTTTTCTTGGTATTGAGAGGGTTCAAACGAGTAACCTTCCCCTTACCAGCCAAGTGCCTAACTATTCTGTCACCAGGGTGCTCCCTCCCCCTCATTCTCTTTCTGCAGTGTATATTGAAAGCCAAATTAATTGTTTTTCTTTCATTTCTTCATTTTCTTTATTGATCTAATATGTTTTGTAGTAGCCTGCTAACCAAAAGGCTGACGGTTCAAATCCACCAGCCGCTCTGTGGGAGTAAGATGAGTCACCTCAGAAACCTGAATGGAGGGCCAGTTACTCATCAGAATGGACTCAAAGGCAAAAGGTCTGTGAGAAAAGAGCCAAGTGCAAAGAAGAAAACACTGCCAGCCAGTTCCCAGCGCTCGAGAAAACCACTAGTAACATCTGGCTTTTGAATTCCTGGCAGCCTTTCTAAAATTCACACACGTAATTAGAAATAGTGTCGCCCCTTTTGGGGGACATTTTCAGGGAACGCTGACATGACTGGCCATGAATAGCCATTGTTACCACATCTCTTCAAGGAAACTTTGGATTTGAGATAATGTGGTCTTCCCCACATCCCCTAGTTCTTTCTTGGGCCCCTCCTGCCATGGGCCTCTTGTTAAACTATCTGAGTTTACTAAATACTCTTGAAATATTTATCAACATGATGAATTTCAAGAGTCGGAAATCCTAATTCCTCACAGCCTTGATTGTCCTGGCGGAACTGTGTCCACATGGACGACAAGGTTTGATTTCCGTGCCCCGGGAGGATGATGTTGTTTTGGTAACACAAGGAGCCTGGGAAAGGCGCTGGGCCGGGGTGCACGGCCAGGGCCTCCGGGGGTGTCTTACTTATCCAGCTTGTCATTAGCTTGCCGCCAGTGTGTCTGGTCCTTCTTCCATCTCAGGTTCTCGCTGAGGCCGGGGAACCGGTCATTCCCTAGGAGTTAAGAGAAGCACGCGAAGAATTTGATTAGCAGGGAGCCCTTCCAGATAAGCAGAGGCTCCCTAACAAGCTTGGGGGAGACGCCTCAGCAGCTCCTCCAGATAGTGGGAGGCCCCGTTAATGGCTGGGGTGGTGGAGAAACAACTCCAGGCTGGGCCTCTCTCTGGTGGACAACTGGAGCTTCAGAAGACCCTTCCTCTTCATTTCTGGCACACGGGGAGTCCACGTATAAGACCAGAGGGAGACACTGGCTCTCTCACTGATTTGTTGGAAAAGAAAGCATGGGGGGTGAATGATGGTACCCCCAAACCAGACCTGTTCCTGTTGAGCTGATTCCAGCTCACAGGAGTCTGTGGACAGACCACGATCTTTCAAGAAGACTGCCGTATCTTTTCCCCGTGGAGGGTTTGAACCGCCAACCTTGTGGTTAGCAAGAGGGTGCTTTAACCCCTATGCCACCAGGACTTCTGAGGGTGCCCCCACTGTGAGAATGTGGAGCCCTAAGATCCAGAGGCCAGGACAAGCTGGCCCTCAGATTTAACCAGCAGTCAGCCCAGGCCGAGGGCGGGAAGCACCTCATTCTATCTACAACTCAGCCCATTTCGGATCATTGTGGGGGTGGGGGCCGTGAGCCTGCAGACAGATGGGCCTGGGACAGAACAATCCACTCTCTTGACTGTGATCTGGATGTTTCTCAAGTCACCCCTGACTCCCAGCACCCCACATGTGGGGGAGAACTGTACTGAACAGGGCTTTCAAGGGCTGGTCTTTCAGAAGAGATGGCCAGGCCTTTCTTCTAAGGTGCCCTTGGACGACGGCCTCAAACCTCCAGCCTTCTTGGTTCGCAGCCAAGCATGTTAAGCACTTGTTACACTCAAGGTCTAAAGTTGAGAGAAAAGAGCCTAATGCCTGAGAGGGCCTGCAGCCTTGATGGACACACCTCCACCCGGGCCTGGGACCGCACACTGACCCTGTCCCACTGGGAGTCTGAATAAGATGCTGCTGAGGGGGCGTCTCCAGGGTTCCTGTGCTCCAGCTCAGGGGTGCAGGAGGACTTCACACAAGAACCCTACAACTGTTGTCTCTGATGTCCCCTTAAATGTCTCCAGAAAGTGACAAATGTCCACTCACACTGGGGACAGTCCACTCAGATGGCTCCAAGCTGTTGACCAAAAGTGGGATACCTCCTACCCCCTCCACCCGGAACCTAGCACCCCACCCTCACACTTGTAGTATAATCCTCTGTCCACATACCCAGAGCACCACCCCTCCCCACCCTTAAAGTCTGTCACTCCACTCATACACCTGAGCCTCTTTCCCACCTACACATGCAGCCCAGCACCTTGCCCACACACTCGGAGCCTCGGCCCACCGAAACCCATCCCCCCAGGAGCCCAGCACCCTTGCACACACAACTGGAGTCCCAACTCTCACACATCCTAAAACTCATCTTCTACATACCTAAGTCCCACCTAAACACACCTGTAGTCCCAGCTCCATAAACCTGGATTCCCCTACGATATATGCGCACTAACCTGGAACCTCACCTCCCACACACCTGGATACCCCCTACAATGTGTGTCCACACACCTGTCTCACCTCCCACACACCTAGATCCCCCCTACAACGTGTGTCCACACACCTGGAGCCCCACCTCCCACATGTGTGTCCCCGTACAATGTGCGTGCACACGCCTGGAGCCCCACCTCCCACGCACCTGGGTCCCTCTACAATGTGCATGTACACACGCGGAGCCCCACCTCCCACGCACCTGGGTCCCTCTACAACGTGCGTGCACACACCTGGAGTCCGGCAGCGCCGCATCATCTCCCCTCGGGCCCCTTCCCCTCGCAGTAGCGCCTCCTCCAGCCGGGCCTTGACGTCCCTGGACTTCTGCAGGACCTGCGTGCTGACCTTGTCGGAGCTCTGCTTTCCCTGGACGAAGGGAGGAAGGGCATCTGCTGGGGGAGCTCTGCGTGCATTGAGGGGATCCCTCCCTGGCTCTCCCCAACACCTGCAGCCTGAGCCCACCCCCCCAAGGGCTCCACCTGCTGCAGGACGTTGTCCAGGTGATCCCCCCACAAGACCCTGCTCAGGGACTCCTCAGTGATTCACTAACTTAAGATGATCCCAGTGAGACCAACCCTTCCAGACAGAAGCACAGAAAATGCGGCTGACATGTGTGTCTGGGGCTTGACGCAGATCCCAGGCCGACAAGTACAGAAATCGGAAAAGTTAAATGTTTCCACCGCTCAGCCCACGTGGCAGTGACAAGCCAAGCCAAGCAGAGAGCCCACCGCCACCCACGCCCACCTTGTACTCGAAGCAGGACACGCAGATGAAGAGCAGGTCCAGGATCCTGTTGAGCTGCATGGACGGCAGGTCTGCAATCCACCGCTGGATGAGGCTCTGCTCCGCGTTCTTGACAATCCAGAGGAAGCAGGTCATGAGGTTGCGGGTGGTGTCGGCGCTCAGCAGGCTGCACTGCTTGTAGGGCTGGAGGGGCACAGGGGTTGAGGGCGGGCACAGGGATGGGGAGCCCGGGCGTGCTCCTCCCCAGGGATTAAGGGCGGGCACAGGGATGGGGAGCCCGGGCGTGCTCCTCCCCAGATGTGGGCATCACTTCTGCTCCACCTGGAACTGCTTCCAGAAGTCACACCTCCAGCACAGCAAGCGGAGATCTGCTTGTCCACATGCCACACAAACCCACTCACTGACATCCCGAGGGATGGTCCTAATCCCGTTAACACACAGCTCACACTCAACTCACACTCAGGACCAGGGGCTCCCAGGCTGTGGTTGACAATGGAGGAGACAGCTCGTCCTCCCTCAGAGCTGCTGGTGGCTTTGCGGGCTGGACTGGTGGACTGCGGGCTGCATGCAGTCTTCTGGTTCGCGGTGCAGCTCACCACGGGCTGTGCCACCAGCCTGCTGCTTTGAGATGCTGCATTTATGTGTCGCAGAGTCAGAACTGACCGCTGACCCCCCCCCCCCAGGTTTTCAGAGGCACTAAATTGCACAGAAAGAGACTGTCCATCCTTTTCTCACGGAGCAACTGGGGGATTCAAACTGAGTGTCTTTGTGATGGCAGCACAGCTTCTTACTGCTAGGCCACCAGAGTGCCGTACTTTGACATAGTTCCATGTCAAATGTTGCTGGTAGAATAATCAGTGCAGACAAACCAAAATCCCAAGCAAGATGTGTCAGGTTGATTCCATCTAATAGTGGCTCCACGTGACAGGGAAGGGCTGCCCGTGGGATTCCCAGTGCCGTGCTCTCCACTTGACCATGTCGCCTTCATGGGCCGGACAAAGGCATGCCACTGTGTAGATCTTAACAAACCATGGATAACGTCACAAAGGAAGAGGATCCAGGAAAACGTAACTGTTTATACAGAAGCTGCAGACGGACCCAGAGCTGGTGGTTCAGACAGAGCCAAGTTTCCGCTGTGGTTTAAAGGCAGCCCGTGTGCATCAGGGCTGTATCCTTTCATCATATTTATTCAATGTGGATGCCGGGTGAATGATCCAGGAGGGTGACTTTATGAAGAAGAACACAGCACCAGGATTGGAGGAAGTCTGACAGCCTGTGGTGAGCAGACAACATGACTTCGCTTGTCCAAAGTTAGGGCTTGAATGACAGAATGACGAAGTCAAAGGCGTCAGCATGGATTACACTTCAGCACGAAAAGCCCCAAATCCTCACAAATGGATGGACAAACACAGACATCATTGAAGTGTCGACAATCCCGTTTTACCTGGATCCACATCAACACGTCTAGGCTGGTAGGAAAAAGTATTCAAAGCATTGTTTTGGGCAAATCAGCTATAAAAAGACCTCTTTAAAATATTAAAAAGTAAAAGACATCACTTTGAGGACTGATGTGCACTTGACACAAGTCAACGTCCTGTCAGTGTCTGCTTAGACTGGAGAGCCAGACAGCGAATAAGGAAGAGTGAGGAAGAATTGGCAGATGTGCGTCATGGTAGATGAAGCAGCATCTACGACCAGGAGAACAAACCGGTCCTGGAAAGGGTGTGGTCACAATGCTCCTTACAATTGCTTCTCGTGGACTTCGGTCCTTTATCATGAAGGTCCAGTTCTTGGAGGACATCATGCTTGGTAAGTGGAGGGTGAGCAAAGGAGAGAAAGACCTCCAAGGAGATGAAGTCCCACGGTGGCTGTACCAGCGGCCTGAAACACAGCCGTGACCATGGGCGGCGCAGGAGCCGGCCGCGTTTCACATTTGCAGCCAAACTCTCTGTGGCTTGGACCCACTCACCCAACAATATCTACGGCAGCAGATGCCACGTCTTTCTCTCGTGGATTCAAACTGGCAACTTTTTACTTACTGACTGAGCAATTTAACCATGGCACCACCAGGATGCCCTTTGAAGATAGCAATAATACAAAAAAAAAAGGGTGAAAACAGCAGTGTGGAGATTCCGTCTGAGAACTGAACTTGCTCATTCTCACATAATTCCTGTCCAAAATGTGGATGGGCATTTACTCTGCTTTTCCTGGATCTGAGCCCAGGTGACAGTGATGTGAGCACACGTGACCCATGTGCCGGGATTGCTGGAGTTCACCATGCATGGGGCCCGTCTGACATGACTCAGAGAAGGTGCAGCCTGAGTGCTCACGGGAGGTCAAGACGACAAAGCTTCATCTCTCACAGTTCGGTCACATTGCTAGGAAAGACTCTTCCTCAGAAAGCGACATCATGCTTGGAAAGGTGAAGGGTCAGTGGAAGCGACAAAGACTTTCCAAGAGACCGACTGACACAGCAGCAATGGGCTCAAGTAGGTCAGAAACGATGAGGATGGCACAGGACAGGGCAGGGCTCACATCTGTGGTTTATAGGGTCTCCATGGATCGTACTTGACCTGATGACACCTAACAACAACAACATCATTTCTCTCCTTCCTCATCTAGGAAGCGTGTGACCTGTGTCACCGACAGTCACCTGTGCAGGAAGCTTTCGTGGTTAACTGGTAAGGAATTGCTCTGCCAATGCAAAGGCACGCGGTTCAAACCCACCAGTTACTCCACAGGAAAAACGAGCAACGTCTTCCCATGCATTAAGGACCTCTGAAAACCTGCTGGAGGGTCAGCTATGAGTTGGTCATGACTCGACGCTACACAACAACAATATGACCTGTTATGTGCATTTTCACCAAAACCACGTTCGTTTTGTGGTGAGAGTCCTGCCATTTGAGAAGATGACACGATCTGACGTGGCCATGACACAATTCTCGAGAGCCACCCCCATACTCCTCCTCCTTCCAGCCATCAATAGGGTTTTTGCTCTCCAGTGGACACCATCTCTGTGTCAGCTGGTTGGTGGGGAGGCCACAGTGTGGGGAGTGGGTGTGGGAAAGCTGGGCTGGGCAGCTCAGCAAAAGGGCCTCACGTGGAGTGTACGTGTCCAGGTGTGTATCTGTGCTGGGGGCTGTCTTAGTCACCGAGTGTGGCTGGACGAGAACACCACAAGGGGGTGGCTACAACAGACAGAATTGTATTTTCTCACAGTGTAGGAGGCTTGTGTTGTTACTAGTCATTCTTGCGTCTGTCCTGACCCATAGCGACCCCGTGGGCAGAGAAGGAAGCTCTCCCTCATCCAGGACCATCCTCACGGCCGTTGCTGTGGGAGCCCATTGCTGCGGCCACTGTGTCATCCATCTGCCCAAGGGTTCTCCTCTCGCACGATGACCTCTGCTTTATCAGGCATCACATCTTTGCTGTTTGAGCCCCATTGTTCCCTCGTTGTCAGGTGCCATCGAGTCGACTGTGACTCACGGTGACCCTGTAAACCTGGCCCTACCCTGCACCATTTTCACCATCTCCAATCTGCTCACGGCCATTCTCACGGTCACTGTGACCTTTCCTCTTGTTGGGGGCCTTCCTCTTTTCCTCTGAACCTCTGTATTTCCCAGCAGGACGTCTTTACCAAGCACTGAGCCCTCCTGAGTATATGCCCAAAACATGTGAGATGAAGGGTCACCATTTTTGCCTGATAGGAGACCCTTGATTGTACCTCTTCTGGGACAGGTTTGTTTGTTCTCCTGGCAGTCTGTGGAATATATAGTACCAACATTCTCCAGTAGTCTCCAACACCACAAGTCAAAGGCCCTGATTCTTCTTCCATTATCCATATTCACTGTGTAACTTTCAGATGCTTATGAAGCAACTGAAGATAGTGGCTTGAATAAGGTGCACCTTAGTCTTTAAGCTGACATCATTGCTCTTTAGTACTCTGGAGAGAAGATTTGTTCCACCAGAGGCCAGAAGTCTGAATTCAGGGTATTGGCTCTGTCTGCCTGGGTTGGGGTGCGGGACCCTTATCTGGGGCTCTCCAGCCTGTGTTCATGGGTTCCTTTCTCTCCACGTGTTCTTTCCCTATTTGCACTTGCTGGTCACTGTCCATGCTCTTCTTTTGTATCTTGAAAGTGATAAAGCCTGAGACACCCTACATGTAACAGCGCCCGAGTGGTTCAGTGGTTAAGCTCCACTGAGCCGCTAATGAAAAGGTGAGCAGTTCAAATCCACCAACCATGCCACAGGACAAAAGGAAAGCAGTCTGCTTCCATAAAGATGAGTCTTAGGAACCCCATGGGGCAGCTCTGCTCTATCCTGTCGTTCTCTCTCCCTGGACAGTGGAACCTGGATGCAAGGAGAGAGCTAGCCTGGCTGGGAGCTCTGGTAGCCTAGCAGGTAAGGAATTGCACTCCCAACACAAAGGCAGATGGTTTGGATCCCTCAGATGCTGATTCGGAGAAAGATGGATCCTCTCCTCCCAAGAGATTTGTTACCAGTGAAAGCTTGCAAGAGGGTCAGCTGAGAGTCAGCTCTGATCTGATGGCAGAAAGAGAGGGAGAAAGATACAGACCGAGAGAAAGGGAGAGAGTGGGAGAAAGGCAGAGAGAGAGAAAAGGAGAGAGAGCGAGAGAGGAGGGGGGAAAGAGAGAGGGAGGGAGAGAGGAGGGGGAGAGAGAGAGAGATTCTCTGTGGGTTGGAATTGAATCTATGCTGATGAGTACATTATTATGTTCTTATTAACACGACAATTCTATGTTCTATTTCCACACGGAATTCCATCCACAGGAATCCAGTACGTATTTTGGGGGGTCACAACCTCATCATGGTGGAGTGGACGGTGGTCTGCTGGTCTTCGCTGGGCATTCTCTCCGACCTCAGTGATACCAAGTGGCCTCATGCTGCAAACGCCGCCCGTATTTCTGGTGCAAGCTCAGCTGTGCTGAAGCGGCCACGAGCAGAGAACGCGCCTGGCTGGGAGTGCAAATACTTGAGCTGTCCATCAGTTAGCTTCACAGCCACAGGCGCCAAACACGAGGTCATGACCTGCTCGAAAATTAATCAAGTCCAGAGCTCGGGAGGCCTTTGGTCAAGATCTCTGAACCCTGGGGGCAGGCGAGGGTGGAAGGAATCCATCTGCTTTCACGCTTTGGCCTCGTTTGCTCATCCTCCGGCGCTGAGTTCACCTCCCTTACTCATCATGTCCACACGGACAACACCCCCCGGCCCTCTTGGTTCACACCGTGTAGCTAATATCCACGGAATGTGCTGGGGAGATTGCACCAGAGCCCTTGTGGGGCTGGAGCGCGGCGTTGGTCTTGGATGGGAACAAGTCCAGTGAAGGAATCAGCCTTGAGTCTTTCAGTCTGTTGACAAGAATAAATGAAGTCTTTAGGTCAATGATGATTTCCCGGGGAGCATGTTCTGACTGGTGAATTTAAGGCTTTGGCGCTTCTCCACGCAGGCAAATAATGTCCAAGAGAAAAACTAACAGCAAATAACCTGCTGAGAGTTGAGGTTTCCTTGCCCGTGACATCCTACACTCACCTTAAAGAAGCCCTTCACCAAAATGAATCTGCCCCTAGACTTCCTTTCATTCGAAGCAGCAAATCCCTTCTTTTCCTATTGGAAACCAGGTTTGCTAAATTGGAATCTAAAATGACACAGCCAGACAGGGGGCAAAGTTATTACACAAACATCTCAATCATAACTGAACACCTGGGGTTTGAGCTGCAGTTCTGGGCAGGGTCAACTGGCATAACCTGGTTCACAAAGACAACATCCTACACCTCCCTTGGTGACCAGCGACTAGGGTCTGGAAGCACCAAAGGGGCAACTGTTGGTCTCTCTGTGCAGAACAAGAGGGAAGAAAAGCAAAGATGCTTAGACACGATCAGTCCCAAGAACTAAGAACCATCCACAGCACAGTGTCCAGGACCCCAAGACCAGAAAAACCACGTGGTCCCTCGCTACTCCTGCTGTCCATCCTATGAGAGCACAGTGGCCTGAACAGCCAGCCTTTCTGCGAGCAGTGCAGACGTTAATTGTTTACGCTTCCAGGATTCCCAACAACGGCAGAGTAGCCTGGGAGAGAGGGGAGAAGCAGAGCAAGCACCCCACGTACCAGGGACGACGGGAGAGGCCCACTGCTCTTCAGGCTGAAATGATTGCCGGCGATGGCCAGGGCCACACTCTGGTGAATCGCACTTTCACCATCCTGTTCTTCGTAGGAGCCACTCGAGCGGCTTTTCCCACCACGTGCGTCCACAGCTGTAATGCAAAGGTCGCTGGTGAGGCCAGGTCACAGGTAGTATTTCTAGTCAGTCCTCTGCCTGTCCACCCACTGCCCCAGGCCGTGGCAACTCACAGTGGCCCTGCAGGACACAGTAAAACTGTCCCCTAGGCCATGGCAACTCACGGTGGCCCTGCAGGACACTGTGAATCTGTCCCCTAGGCCGTGGCAACTCACAGTGGCCCTGCAGGACACAGTAAAACTGTCCCCAGGCCGTGGCAACTCACAGTGGCCCTGCAGGACACTGTGAATCTGTCCCCTAGGCCATGGCAACTCACGGTGGCCCTGCAGGACATAGTGAAACTGTCCCCCAGAGTTTCTGAGGCTGTAAATCCGGTAAGGTTAGAAGGAGCTCTGGTGGTACAGTGGCTTAAGCACTCGCCTGCCAACTGGGTGGCATGGGAACTGCTGGTCAGCAGTTCAAACCCACCAGCTGCTCTACTTGGGAGAAAAGTGTACAGTCTGCTTCTGTAAAGATCACTGGTTTGGCAACCCCATGGGGCCCTTCTCCCCACTGGCAGTAGGTTTATAGATGTATGCAAATAAAAAAGGGGGACCCCACACTTTAAAAGGGCAGTTGTCAAGAACATCACCAGATGCAGACACAGTAACCATGTGCTGAGCAGTTCTTGGCAAATTATGCTGAGTACCTGTTCCTGGTTCAGTAATTAAAAACACACATTCTGTTAGACTTGTTAACTAGAACCATTTGGACCTTACAGCTAGAGTCAAACTAGTGTAGACATTTTCATCTGTGAAAGTTCTGTGGACAGACTGAGTTTTCAGAAACACTACAAGGTCTGAAGGCGATTTGCCAGTCAGGACACTGCATGTGGGGGAAATGGGGAGATCTGGATTCCAAGGGCAAATTCCTGCCAGGATGGCAGGGCTCGTGGAAGCAAACCGAGGACCCAGGCTCTGTGAGAGCAGCCACGTAATTCCCAGGAAGGCTTCCAAATTGTGAGGAAAGCAGCAGCCGTTCATGGAAAAGACCAGAATCCTGGGTGTGTCTCTGTACTTGTTCGTTGTGTGCGCGCGTGTGTCTGTGTGTGTGTACATGTGTCTCTGTGTGTTTCTGTGCTTTTACGCTGTGTGTGTTGTGTGTACCATGTGTCTCTGTGCTTGTATGCTTTGTGTGTGTGTACATGTGTCTGTGTGTTTCCGGACTAATATGCTCTGTGTGTGCGCACCATGTGTCTCTCTGCCTGTGCCTGGGTGACTGTCTCTCCTTACTTCTCTGTGTGTACAGTGCAGGTATGTCTTTCTCCCACCCCTCCCTCTCTCCCTGTGCTTGTACACTCTGTGTGTGTGTGTGTGTGTGTGTGTGTACATGTGTCTCTGTGCTTGTACACTGTGTATGTGTATACGTGTGTCTCTGTGTGTTTCTGTGCTTGTACACTGTGTGTGTACGTGTGTCTCTGTGCTTGTATGCTCTGTGTGTGTGTACATGTGTCTCTGTGCTAGTACACTGTGTGTGTATGTTTGTGTACGTGTGTCTCTGTGCTTGTATGCTCTGTGTGTGTGTGTACCATGTGTCTCTGTGCCTGTGTCTGGGCGCCTGTCTCTCCTTACTTCTCTCTGTGTGTACAGTGCAGGTATGTCTTTCTCCCACCCCGCCCTCTCTCCGTGTGTGTCGTTAGCAGGCCAATAACCAGCTTCCATCAGGTCACTCTGAAGCCATGGTGACTGCCCCCGTGCAGACCACAACCGTGCCCCATAAGGTTTCCAAAGCTGGTACCGTCCAGAATCAGATTGCCAGGCCTTCCCCTACGGCACCTCTGAGTGGACTTGAACCGCTAACCCTTCCATAAGTAGTACAGAGTGTGTTAAACCATATGTACCACACAGACTCTGTACGTCTATTTCTTTACATATGTGTCATTTCTAAGCAAATACGCAAGGGGCCGCGTGCTTTTGGATTTAAAAACACTGAACTAAGGCTTGTGTTGAGAGCTTCTGTGGACGTGATGGTTAAGGCTATAAGTCCACTTGACCAGCCATGATTCTCAGTGGGCTGCAGATACGAGGTAATCGTTATCCACTGTGGTCTGACGGGAGAAGCCAATCAGCTGAATGAGGTGTGTCCTTGGGTTATGAGTGGCCTGCATGCAGTGCAGGGGGAGGTCCTGGCCAAGCTCCCTCATCTTGGTCTTCCATTCATCTGACTGCTGCTTCCTGAGATGTGAGAAGCCTTGCACCTGCTGCCTTACCTGCAGATGTGGATTCATCAGCCCCTATAACCACGTGTGACTTGAGCGAGGTGCAGCCAGAGAGCTCCTCGCAGCAAAGACTGGGAGGCATTGTCTCACATACTCTGGGCGTGTTGTCAGGAGGGGCTGGCCTTTGGAAGAACGTCAAGGAAAAGAACTGACACCGTGACAGCAGGAATGGGCCCGAGCCCAGCAGAGACTGTGGGGACAGTGCAGGAGAGGCCGAGGTTTTGGCTTGTTTACACGAGGTCGTTATGGACCAGAGCTGACCCGAAGGCAGCAGCAGGACATCATCCACTGGTGTGAGGAGAAGCCTCTGGCCTGACACCTGACCTCAGAATCGGGCCTCGGAGCCTCCAGAGCTGCGTGAGCCGTCCCCTTGAGACCAGTCTCTCCCTGAACGTGATCACAGACCCGCTTCACTGGCCCTCCTCCTCCAGAGCCCGGCCCAAGTCCGACGACCTGGAAGTGGACAAGCGACCACACACCGGCCAGCACAGAGCTAACAGGAGTGACCTCATTCTGGGGGACTTTGGTGCCCATCAACGCGGGGAGCAGTGCAGTGTAACGATGAATGCCATCCTCTGACTGTGGAGGACCGGTGCTCTCAATCCCCCCAGATGCCTTAGAAGAAAGGCAGTGATTGTCCCGAGAAGGGTCACGGTCACAGCCACTTAAACCTGGAGGAGCCCAGATGTGCTCTGAACCCCAGGGGGCCCGTCCTGTGTGAGAGCAGACCCCACGCTGCAGGTTCTGGGTTGTCCACGCACCCCAGGGGCGAGACAGTGGGTGTCTTACCTGTAAAATCATAGAGCTGCGGTAACGCGTCCAAAATGATGCCCACCAGCGGCAGGTAGAGGGCGGCGACTTTGACCTTCACCTCGGGCTTGGCGCAGCGGGGGTCCAGGTCGTGGTTGCTCAGCAGACTGTGGATGGCGCTGACCGCCTTCCTCTGCACCCTGCTGATCCTGACGGTGAAGGCGGGGGACGCGGTTAGCACACGGGGAGGCTGACCCGAGAAGGACAGCGTCACAGTGACCCCAGCGCCAAGGCGACCAGGGGGGACGGGCAGGCCAGGGAGAGGTCAAAGGATCCCACGCCTGCGTTCCAGGCCTGGTTCCGCTGCTCAGCGCTGTCCTAGCTACACAGCGCTGCTGTAACAGAGATGCCGCAAGGCGAGTGTTAAACACAAATGGATTCTCACACAGTTTGGTCTAGAAGTTCAAACTCAGGTGCCGGCTGAAGGGAAAGTTTTCGCTCTGTGCCTGCTCCGGGGAAACAGCTTTGTCTCATTTCGACATCCCTATGCCCAGCATTCCACGGGCACATCAACCCAAGTGACATTCTCTGTATCGATGAGCTTCCTCGAGCAGGGACCTGGGTCCACTCCTGGATATGACGTCTTGGTGCTACTGAAGTCCCTTCTTTCAGCCTCGTGGATAAGGAGTTATGCTGCCAACCCCAAGGCAGGCAGTTCCAACTCAGGAGCAATTAGTTGTTTCTTGGGGAGCTCTGGTGGCCTAGAGGGTAGGGGGTTGTGCTGTCAACCCAAAGTCAGGCAGTTCGGATCCAGCAGCTCTGAGGGAGAAAGATGGGCAATCCCTTCTCACTCCGTTTACAGCCCCTGACAACCTGCTGGAGGGTCAGCTCTGACTGGGACTCGGTGACAATGAGCTGCTTATGTGACTGAAGCCCTCACCCCCACTTCCCTCACCTTTTTATCTCCGTTGAGATAATAGGTGTTACAGGCCACACCCTCGGGGGACCACTCTTCCATCCTGGGGCTGTCAGAGGACTCAGGAGTGTGGCACCCCACCCTTAATCCTCCCACAATTATTTGGTTTATCAAATGATGGGAGATCGTCACACAGAATCCGTATTATAATGTTATTATTGTTGTTGTTGTTGGGGACAGTTGAGTTGGAATCCACTCACAGCTGACCTGCCAGTGGGTTTTAAATCACACAGGCGGGGACTGACCGCCCCTCCTCAGAGCAGTTGGGGGATTCAAACTGCATGCCTTTGAGTTTGCAATGTAGTTTCTTACCCCTGGGCCACCTGACCTCCTGACATCATTGTTTCATTACATGCATGTGTTTTGGGGGACATGACTGAATCCATGACAGTCATGATGTCTTCGAGGTGCATCTCGTGACTTTGTCTTGTGCATCTCGTGACTTTGTCTTGTGCACTGCGAACCACTGGATTGAACGGGAGCCCCCACAGGGCAGTTCTGCTGTCCCATGTAAGGTCTTTGTGAGCTGAAGTGGACTCAACAGCCCACACAGTAACAACTGCATGGACACTAACCCTGGGTGTGTGGCTTCTCTCTCAGCTTGTGACGCTGGCCCGTGAGAATCCAGTGAAGACCCAGGACAAGTCCTTCCCATCAGTAGCCACATCCTCTGCTGGCTCCAAGCTGTGTGGCCCTGGCATGATGTCCCCAAGTTAAGACCAGCTCTGGGACCCTGTAACCCATGTACATGGGGGCGCTTCTCACAAGAGCCGAATGTGGAGACAAGTGCAATGCCGTCAACAGATGAGGGGTCAACGAGAAGTGGCCCATCCGTACGATGGACTCTCGCCCAGTCACAAAAAGGAATGGAGTTTGGGGACTAAACGGGCCACAACTGCGTCAAGACGACGAACCCGCCTTGGGAGAAGTCAGCCAGCGTGCTCCTTAGAAGTGAAGTTGAAAGGGAGCTCTGGTGGCCTAGTGGCAAGACGCTACACTGTAATCCCAGGGGTATGCGGTTCAAATCCACCAGATGCTTTGCTGGAGAAGGAGGGGGCAATTTCCTCCTGTACCAGTGAGATCTGATTTGACAGTACACGTAAAAAAATACAAAAAAAAAAAAGAAGTGAAGGTGAGACGTCATCTCACGCCTCTGGGCGTGTCATCAGGAGGAACCAGCCCTGGGAGAGACATCAGGCAGCATGCATGGACAAACAGAGGTTTGGCAGAAAAGAGGAAGACCCTCGATAAGTTGGATTGACACAGTGACTACAAAAGTGGCTTAGGTAAAGCAGAAATTGTAAAACAGCACAGGATTGGCTGCTGCGACATGGACTGGCTCAGTGACTGTAACAATGACCTTGATCACATCCAGGATGACGAGGAAGGCAGGGGACAGGTCAAGGTTCAGATCTGTGGCTCACAGGGTCACTGTCAGTCATAGACAACAGCAGTGAAAACAACCACAAACTCCAAAGGCAGATGGTTCGAATCCACTGGCTGCTCCACAAGGGTTGGCAATATCCTCCAGGCGTCTCACTGCCACTGAAAACCCTCCAGAGGGCATCTGACGCGACAGCACTCAACAACAACAAACACACAGTCTCGGTGCGCTGACATCTAACAATAAAAACAATGACGTGGTTGAACATCAGGCTGAGAGAATCAAGTCAATGGCAAAAGAACAAGAAAAACATGCCCCTATTTAAGAGGATAAGAAAACACGCAGAACTCTGAGATCAATGGTGGTTTCCGGAGGTGGAGAAGAGGGGAGGGTGCTGGAACCGTGCTTTCTTAGGGAGGACTGAGTTTATGTGGGTGGGGACGGGGCATTTTGGAGCCATATCTCAAGTCAGTAAGTATATTTGTGGAAGCTGCATGAATGAATGACTTGGGTGTGTTTCTTGACAACAATAAAGGAAGGGCTTTTCTCTGTCTCGAAGGACCCTGCCAATCAAAGCATCACTAGGAGCCTGCAGGGTGTGAACCCACTGACAGCTGACCCTCCAGGTTTTCAGGGGGAGTACCCTGCACGGGAGGAGACTTCCTATCCTTCTCCTGCAGTGACTGGTGGATTCAAACCACACACCTCTGAGCCGGCAGCACGTTCATTCTCAATAAGCCACCAGCGCTGCCTGAAGCCTCTACCAGCACCACAGCCTTGCAAGTTCTCTCCCAGGAAGCGCGTCCTGGAGAAGTCGCTTTGCGGCCCCCTCCCTCTGCACACCGTTTCTGGGCTCTGCTGGAACCACCCTCCCCACACCTGGTGTCTCTGCCCTTTGGAACTGGAGAGTGAAGGCGTTTTCTACCCAGTGCGAGACACCAGAAGGCAAGTCTGGTGAGGGCCTCGTCTGACCTTCTACGGTCAGTGTTGGAAACGTACCCTTCCCCTTCAGCGTCCAGGGCGGCGGCCAGCTCAGTGAAGAGCAGTCCTGTCAGGAAGTGCTGCTGGCGGTACTCAGGGGTCAGGTCGAACATGCCCGCGATCTTCTGGTCCTGGAGGCTGGAGCCGGAGCTGGAGTTCTGGAGGACGTGAGGGCAGCGGTAAGTGGGAGGACTGGATGTACAGTCATGATGGAGGTGCTGCCCCTGGAGCCCTCCAGCTGGTCACACCAACCCCGTGTGACAGGGCAGAGTGGTCCCGGGGGTTCTAAGGCTGTGATCTTTATCAGAACGCAGGCCTTTCTTCCAAGGTGCAGCCGAATGAGGGATGGGGTCCTTCCTTCAGTGAGCAGACAAGTGTCTTAACCACTGCACCACCAGGGCTCCTGTGATAATGACGCTACTGTTGTGAGGTGCCCTTGAGTCAGCTCCCGGCAACCCACGGACAACAGGGTGAGAACGTCCACCATCCTGAGTGACCCTCACAGCCAGTCCTCAGTGAGAATGTCCACCCGTCCGAGCGACCCTCACAGCCAGTCCTGAGTGTGAGCCCATTGTTGCAGACCGTGTTAAACCATCTCACTGAGGGTCCTCTGGGGCCTAGTGGACAGGGACATGGGCTGCCAACCCAAAAGCAGGTAGTTTGAATCCACCGGCCGCTCTGAGGGAGGAAGTACGTCGGGCAAACTTCTGCACTGGGATGCAGCCTCTGAGAGCCTGCGAGCGGGTCAGGTGCGGGTCTGTCCTGAGCTGACGACAATGGGAGACAGAAAACATTTACTGAGCACTTACTAGAGGTCAAAGGGCCCTGGTGGTGCAGTCGATAAAGCACCTGGCTGCTAACCAAAAGGTGGGTGGTTTGAACTCACCAGCCCCTCTAGGAGGCACCAATGCGGCAGCCCACTCCTTAAAGCTTTACAGCCGAGGGAAGTTTCAGGGCCAGTTCTGCTCTGTCCTGGTCAGCAGGGAGCTATGGGTTGGAGTCCACCCGGTGGCCATGGGTTTTGGATTGTTACAGGTCAGGCATGGCACACACAACCAAGGGTAAAGCTGGCATCTCCTGCCCACAAAGACCTACAGCCTCAGCATCCCCGTAGAGGGTCGCCGTGGGTCAGGCCCAACTGCCCGGCGAAGAGGCAGCGGTCAGTGGAGGCTGGTCAGCAGTTACCTGGGAGGAGATGGACGGGCAGGGCGAGACGGGCGCCGTGTCCGCGCTCATGAAAAACAGGTTCAGGTTGAGGTACTGCTCGTGGCTGCACAAGACCCTCAGGAACTCCAGCCGCATGGAGATGAGGGTGGGGAGGTTGCTGAGCTTGGCCGACAGCTGCGGAGACAGTGAGGAGAGAAGGACACGGTCAGGTGACCAGGTCAGTGAGATGGGGCCAAAAGACAGTGTGCTTTCCCCAGAGGCAGTCAGTTTCCTAACTGTTACTCGGGTGATGCAACAGGCACTAGAAGGAGCAGCAGCCGATGGACCAGCAAATCCCCACGCAGCACACCTCCCCTGACGCCCCTAAGGGCCCTGGTGCTCAGGGGTAAGCACCCAGCCAACTGGAAGGTCGGGGGTTCAAACCCACCCACCACTCTGAGGGAGGAAGAAGAGGGAGACTGCTTCGGGGCACCCGATGGGGCAGTGCCCCTCTGTCCATCGGCCCCGGCGCAGAACCGACACACAGGAAGCACGCCGGTGATGGCTCACCGCAGCTCAACACACGGCGAGAACACAGCGGCCCCCGAGGCACACCCACCTGGTTGCAGTAATGTCTGATGAGGTTAAACACGAAGCCGCGGTCCATGAGAGACAGCAGGTCGTACAAGAAGAAAGCCAGGCTGATGTTGATCTTTTCCGCTTGCTCGTTTTCCTTAAAGACAGACAGACACGCAGGTCATTTTGTGCTAGAGGCCAGGCCGTGGACTCTCTGGTGCCTGGGGGCAGAGGCAGGCTCTGTGACTTCAGCCACTGTCCCTCGCAGGACACGGAGCTGAGCAGTTATCTTTCCTAACCATCAGTTTCCTGCTCCATAGAACTGAGGCAAATTAGCCTGGCTCTTCTTGGTGTGTGCCAGGGACCCAGAACACAGCTCACAGCCGCTCGGCACACACAGCAGAGGCCCCGGCGTGTGGCTCACGGTCACAGCAGAACACAACGCTGCCAAGTCCTGGGCCAAACCCACGGTCAGCTGCTGATGCCCACGCTGTCACCAGCCAATCAAGCTAGTTTTGCAGAACTAACTTGAAATGTGTTCACTGTCCTCAGTGAGCTAGGTTCTTCATTTATAATCTGTATTAATCTGAAGTGGGCTGCTCTTCTTAGATAAGATGTGGTCACGCGTGGTAAAGCCGGCTCTGGCACTACTTGGGTGGGGGTCTGAGTATTTATTTTTATTCTTTCTCAGTGCTCATATTTGTGAGGGACTGTGGGGCCTTTCAGAGAGGGGGGATCCACTGTTTCATGTTTAAACTTCTTATTCTCATAACAATAAACCAGTTCTTTGAGAATCTCCTCATGGTGTTAGGATGTGCACTTGGCAAACCCAGGCTGAGCTGACCAGCCCCTTGGGGTGAGAGTGCTGGAGGCCCAGGACAGAAGTTCCCTCAGCACCCTCTGAGTCAAAGGCTTAAATGCCCTCAGATGTTAACTACAAGTTTAGAGGCTCAAATCCACCCACAAGCACCTTGGAAGAAAGACCTGGAAATCTACTTCTGAAAAATCAGCCACTGAGACTCCTATTGGGCACAGTGCTTCTCTGACACACGTGGGACACACATGAAATCACTATCTATAATATAGAATTATATATTATATAAAACAAGATCATAACATTATATACAGAGGAAGCCCTGGTAGCTTAGCAGGAAAAGAGCTCCACTGTCAGTCCAAAGGTTGGTGGTTCAAATCCACTAGCTGCTCTGAACAAGAAAGTTGGACAAACTCCTCCTATGCAATTTGCAGCCTCTGATAATCTGCTGGAGATCAGCTACGAGTCAGTTCAGACTCAAGGGCACACAGCAACAGCAACAACAGAACATACACGTGTACACATATATTGCTTTTAGTAAAATTGTCATTTGCACTATGTTGAATCCTCCTATTCATGAAGCGGGAATATTTTTCCATTTAATTTGTTTTCGAGGTTGGCACAGAATAGAGCAGGGTTTAGGGCTCTTGTACATAGGGTCACTATGAGTCACAAGCGACTAACGGCACATAACAACAGCCTTGTTCTTGTGGCAGCGTTTTGTAGTTTCCCAGGGCTTCTAACTCTGTCTCACATACTTTGGGCATGTGGCCAGGAGGGACCAGTCCTTAGAGAGGGACATCTTGGAGAAGATATGCTTGGAAGGGTGGAGGGATAGTGCAGGAGACGAAGACCCCAGATGAGACAGAGTGACACAGTAACCAGGGCAATGGGGGTAGGTGTGTCAGAATCAGTGAGACTGGCTCAGGATAGGGCAGGGTTCACTGCTATCGCACATAGGGTTACTATGGGTCACAGGCAACTTGATAGCCTATAACAACAACAACAACAACCTGTCTTTAGTCATGGAGCTTTGGTGGCTTAATGGTAAGAAATTGCTCTGCCAACCCAAAGATATATGGTTTGAATCTACCAGCTGCTCCATGGGAAAAAGATGGGCAATCTTCCCCTGTGCGATTCACTCCCTGTGAAAACCCACTGGAGGTTCAGCTATGAGTCAGTTCCAATTTGACCATACAGAACATCTATCATCTATCTATCTATCCATCTATCTATCTATCTATCTATCTATCTATCTATCTATCTATCTTTCTATCCATCTATCTTAGAAATTATATTTTTCTGACACATTTCCAAACAGATTGTAAATATCATGCGCATTTATTTATCAATATTTCAGGATCTGCATCTTAAGAACAAGAACACTCTTCTCCCCATCTGCCTTGATGGCATAATTAAAATGACAGGAGTTCCTCGTTGTAGAGCTGTTTTGCTTTATCCCACGTTGCTCATTTATCAGGGTTTTTGTTTTTACAAACTGCAGGTTAGCGGCAGCATTGCACCACGCACATCTGCCAGGGCCATTTTCCCAGCAGCACGTGCTCACTTCATGCCCCCGCATCGCCTTACGCGCATCCTCACAAGATTTCAAACGCTTTCCTAAGTCACCTGTGCTCTTTGTAGATGATTATGCTGGTAGATCTGTTGGGTCAGAATGAACTCACAGCGGCCCCTGCAGAGCTCTCAGAGGCAGCAGGTCGCACAGGAGGAGACCACCCTCCTTTCTCCTGTGGAGCAGCTGCTGGATTAGAAGCATCTGCTGTTAGGTTGGCAGCTCAACTCTCTACCTCTAGGGAAACCACACACCCCACGTGAGACTCGGTGCGATGTTTGCCTCGCTGCTGTGCGCTGGCACGGAACCTGTGCCGTCTCTGGGGTCTGCCCGTAGAGTCAGTGTGGTAATTTCTCTACAAGCCCCTCCCCATGATCCGATCCCACGTGACACACCACCTGTGACCATCACCGAGTGTTCCCCTCTCACCACGTGTTAATATACTGCTTGTCTGACAATGCCACATGCTCAGGGTCAGCCATGGGGGTGGGAGGAGTGACCCTGTGTTACCTTCTGGGGTTTGACTAACAGGGCGGCGATCTCCGAGGTGACCACGTTCACGATGGTTGTTATGTCATCTTTGAAACGGTCTGAAAAGCGTGTCCTCCGGAGACTGTCCCTCTTGTCCACGTTGTGCATATACTGGGCCATGCTTTTCACCTGCAGGAGTGGGATGAGAGGCGTCAACACGGCAGGGGTGACCAGCCTGCAGGACGCAGGACAGGAGAAGGGGCTTGCAGGGACCTGTGCACAGTGGCCTATAGAGGACCCCTCGCAGGACGCTGGTGGCTGAGGCGGCCCCGGTCTGGCACGAGCTTGGACACTGGATGGTTACTATCGAGGGTAAGGAGAGAGACTGGCTATGTCCTGGCCCTGATTCAGGGGACTCCCCTCATGCTGCCGACAAAGTCAGGGACAGTGAGTCTTTAACCCGAGGGGTAGCAATCATCCAGGAGGCCGACCCCACTGTCTCCACGCCCCCCGGGCACCCCAGAACATGTGACATAGAATGATTTGCTTATGGAACTGTGGCTCTTTCTGTCCTTAAAACTATAACAAGAGGTGATGCACCCACCTCTCTTCAATGCCAAGTTGAAACCGGAGGCAGAGCTTGCCCCAAAACCCCTGCAGCAGAGTGACTTTCTGCTTGAGTCTCAGCTGCACCAGCCAGTTCATCCCACATGTGGCACCGAGCTGGTGTTCCCACTACCTGTGGCACCCGCGCTCCCACTGAGCCTGTCGGTGTCGTAGTTCTAACAGCCTGCACTCACTCTGTGTCTGGGTCCCCTCTCCGCCATCCTCCCATTTCAGACTTTTCATAATACAATTACTCATCGCACAGACTACAACGTCAAGTACACATAACTATTATTTGCGCTAGAAAATCTGGGTGACTTGATTTCTCACAATCTTTGCTTTATTCCCAATAATTCCTACATCCTCTTGTGCCCAGGTTAGGCAGGTTTTTGGCTAACAACCATTGTTTTAAGTTCCATTATGGACTGACTAGTAGTACCTTTCCCCAGAAACACATTGTGGTATCAGAAACCTTGAAAAGTCAGTTTTCTATCCATTGAGCAACCCCCATTTCAGGGGCGTAGTCTCCAGCTACTTTAACTGAAGACACATGGTCTTGCAAATCGTCCACAGCTGTGGGACCAATAAAAAGAGAGCGCTTTCCACATCGTGGGAGGCAGTGGTGGAGAGAGGGTGAAGGGACTGTGGCACTGTGGTGAAGAGATTGCAACACAGTGTAATCAGAGGAACCCTGAAGACAGAGCCACAGTTAAAGGTTTTGCTTGCTGGATGACTGAAGGAAAAGCTGACTTGTAACTGTTCTGACATCGTTTCCTGGATGATTGAGGAAACCAGAAGTGCTGCTGAACTGAACCTGGACTTTCACTAATTGAAGAATTGTGTGCTGCTGTTAATCTGGCTTGGACTGCTAAACTAAATGTGGACTTGCATTGTGTGATATACTCTACCCCAACTTGCCCCCTTTCCCAAACTATTTCCATAATAAACTCTACAACTGTGAGTACAGTCTGTGAGTCAATTTGCAACACTCATTGGATCCAATGATGAAGGTGCAGGAGCATGTGGGTGGCATGTCTGACCACCCAGCCATGTGTTTAGTACACGGATATTATTGATGGGGATAGTTCCTCTTTACGAAGCTGGCAGAAGTTGGTCTGGGACTCCCTCATGTTGCATGTATGTTGGGATCCTGACCCTTTTCCTGTGGATATAACATGATGAAACGTAATCACGGTCCCTGGTGCCATCTGAGGCTACCTTAGGAGGGCATAGGTGAGGAGAGTGCTCAGCTGTAAACAGAGCAGCTCAGACACAGAGAAGCAACCATGCACAGGCAAGACAGAGGCCGGTGCGGCCCCTCCACAGAGGCCGGTGAGGCCCCTGCACAGAGGCCGGTGAGGCCCCTGCACAGAGGCCGGTGCGGTCCCTCCACAGACCAAGGAGCTCAGGAACACCCAGTATTGTCAGCAAGGAAGCAATCAACCAGGCTGACGCCTGCAGTTAGACTCTGAGACCCCAGAACTCTGAAAACCCAATTCTGGTCGTAAAGCCAACTGTCTGCGGTTTGTCTATTACAGAATCTGTACGTTCATCGTCGTCAAGTAGGTTCTTACTCTTAGGTATTGTATAAAACAGGGTGGAAGTGCTCTTTCAAGTGGGCTCTTACTCGTCGGAATCATATGAAACAGGGCGAAACTGCTCCATAGTGATTCCAAAGCTGTAATCTGTATGGATCACATGGAACACGACGTTACTGAGTACAACGTAATATTTCTGGATTACTATGAGTGTTGACTATGCCGTAGTCTGCCAAAAGAACATACAAGTCTGTTTTGGAAGGAGTGTTTTGGAAGGAGTGCAAGCAGAGCGCTCCTTAGAAGCAAAGGCAGTGAAACTTCATCTCACATCCTTGGGCATGCTAGCAGAGGGACCCGTGCTTGGAGAAGGACAGCACGCTTGGAAACACAGAGGCTCACTGAACAAGGGGAAGGCCTTCAATAGGATGGATTGTCAGAGTGGCTGCAACAAGGGGCCTGTTCAAGGGAGAGACTGTGGGGACAGAGCAGAGGGCAAGGTTTCGATCTGTCGTTCACAGAGTGACTACAAGTTATGGTTGACTGGACAACACCTGACGACAACAACAACCACATGGAGACAGGAGACGCAGGAGGGAGAAGCTGGCTGTTCTGTTAACTCTATGGTCACTTCCACTGCCCTGCAGGGTTCCTGTCAGTGGAATCACCTCCAGGGCAATGAGTTTCAGAAACTTATGTGAACAGAGGTAGAATTGTTTCAGGAGAGGATCAAGACAATGGTACACAATGTGAGAAATGTCACCGATGTCATGAAATTGTGATGGTGGGAGCTGAGCTGGCATGTTTTTGTGGCATCTTTTTACTATAGTTTTTTTAAAAAAAAATGAGAGAAAAATGACGTTAGAAATATAAGCACCCACATTTGTCTGTAGGTGACCTTGAGGTCAGGTCTGGATGAACAAAGAGGGAACAAGGACTGGCTTCTACTCCCAAGAGCCAAGTGGAAGGATTTTTCTGTTACTCCAAGCAGATTTCTGATTCTGAGAATGCAGGACCTTCCAGGCTCACAAGCAGGGACTCTCAGAGGGAAAAGCAAGACGAGGAGGGCAAGGAGACAGAGAGACGGACAGACCGTGTGTACTCCAGGAGGGACGGCAAGGAGACAGAGAGACTGACCATGCTCATTCGGGGTCCAAAGACACAGTCGTGCCCTCATGTGGAAGACCCTAGAATGTACAACCTGGAGGCCTTGTTAAGACCCAGGTTCTCTCCTCTCCAGAATCCCACTTGAACCAGGACCCTGGATGTGCCTGCACCCCTGAGCGTCATCCATGACGGGTGAGCCTGAACCAGTGCTGAGAACCTAGCCCACTTCTTTCTGACTGAATGTCTTTCTCCACTCCTGACAAAGAATTGCAGCAGACAAGGCCCCTTTGTCTCAGACTGGCTTCTCCCAGAGTCCAGTCCCTGCCAGCTCTTAGGACACACTGCTGTTTTCGGCTCCTGTCTGCTGAGCTGGCCATCCTACAACCAAATAAATAATCCCCACAATAGGGCACTTCCACCGCGTGGCCCCCTTCCAGCCGGGCAGCAACCTGCCGGCCACTGTTTTCTCTGGTCTCCAGGGAATCCGAGCCAGGAGAGCTGTCAGCTGATGCCTGACCCAGTACTGGAGCGTGGGGGAGAGTGGAGGGAGGCCGGGGAGCACTCTCCCTCTACTGACGTTTCGGCCCGTTCAGTGTTGAGGAAACTCTACAGTGTGAGTCCCCAGAGTGTGAACGGGAACAGGTAAACGGGGTCACTGGTGGCCCAGGGCCTGCTGTCAGCCTGGGCACTCGGGGGAGGCCAGGAGCTTGTCATTAGCAGGTGTGAGCCTCACCCAGGTCGTCTTCCCAGCTCCCTGACCAAACGTCAGTTTATCAGCACTTGGGCTGAACAGTGGAAAGACTGTGAATCAGCCCAGTTGTCGGCCGAGCCCAGGAGCCCGTGTTCTCTTTCTCTTCAAGCTTTTTGGGTAAAAAGAACCCAATACGTTTGGGTTTTTAAATACCTTCCCAGGCCTCAGTCAGGCAGGCAGTCGTGAGCATGTGAGGAGGGCGAAAGGCCCTGGCGACATCAATTTCCTTGAAGAGTTAGAAGGAGGAGCCTAGGGAGGTCAGGAGTGCGAATGGCCATCGCTGCCTGTGTTTCCGTCCTAAACCCAAGGCCTGCGGTCAGAATCCCACTTGGAAAAGGGTTTTCTTTGCTATGCTGATGAAATAATGTTATTTTAGGGTATGTTCAGTCAGTCTCTTCTGAGATATAAAAGAGATTAAACTTGCAAGTGAGCAAGAGATGGGGAATGATAGATGCCAAGTCACATGAGGGTCACCCAGGAGCAGACATTCAAAAGATACAAGGACCTTGCACACCCATGTTTATCACAGCTTTGTTCACAATAGCAAAGAGTTGGAAACAACCCAAGTGTCCATCAACAAAAGGAATGGATAGAGAAGCTGTGGTATATTCACACAATGAAATACTATGCTGCATTGAAAAACAAGGAACTCATGAAATATTATACAAAATGAGTGACCCTGGAGGACATTATGCTGAGTGAAATATCTCAGTCACAAAAGGACAAATATTGTATAGTGCCACTGTTGTAGAATGGGACTGACATTGGGGTTGGGGAGAACCTAAGAAAAGAGGGGATAAATAATGTATACTGCATTGAAACAGATGAGGAAAAGAACTGTTTAAAAGGAATACAGGATTAGGTATTACTTTCATGGCAAGATTCCAGAAAAAGAAATGCATAGTAAAGTGGACTGAGGACTTGGGGCGGGGGCATTATATAACAATGAAAGAATATTTTTTTCTTTTCAAAGAGAAAAATGAACTGGGGGGAGGGGTGGGCAGGGAGGAAAATGCACAACAATGAATTAATGTGGAAGAAATTAAATGGAAAGAATATGCTGTAAAAAAAATATATGTTGCATTAAAAAATACTTGAAAAAAAGATACAAGGACTTGCCTTCAGAGCCCACAGAGAGAAGGCCCTCCCCTAAAGCACCCTGACTTTGGACCTACAGGCTCCGGTGAGAATCCATCCGGCTTGTGAAAGCCAGCTGCGTGTGGTATTTCTGTCACACTAACGCAGAAGAAACGGGGCAGGAAGAGTGGACGATGGAGAATCTGAAAAAGGCTTGGAGGCTGAGAGTTCTGTGACATCCTCAGAGACTGGAAGGGGAACAAGGTGGTAGGATGGGGGTGGCGGTGGCAGATGAGGCTGGGGACACAGCCACACAAGGACAGGGTGAAAGGGTCTCTTATCAGTTCACTGGAAATGATGAAAGTTGGCTATCTTTGTTTTGAACTATATTGGGGTAAAATTTAAATAATAAGAAAATTCCCATTTTTAAGTTGCCCATTCAGTGACGTTAACTACATTCACCACATCATGTGGTCATCATCACTCTCTGTCCCCCAGAGTTTCTCATCACCCCTAAACAGAAGAAGAGGACAATAGAAGTGTCTTAAAGAGTGAGGGTGGGCGAGCTCTGGTGGCCTAGTGGCAAGAAGCTGCACTGCAATCTCAGAGGTACACGGTTCGAATCCACCAGATGCTCTGCTGGAGAAGGAGGAACAATCTCCTCCTGTGTCAGTCATATCTGATTTGATGGTACACTCAAAAAATAATGAAATAAAATAAAAATTAAAAAAAAGAGTGAGGGTGACCCGATTGGTTCAGCTGTCCATGCAGAGTGGACGGGAGGGACAGGGGTGAAGGCATAAGGGACAAGCTAGCTACTTAGGTGGGCTGCGGGAAGCCTGCAAGAGGTACCAGCCAGGATGGGGATCTTAAAGGCAGAATCAGTAACTGGATGCAGGCTGTTTGAGGGCACGTGAAGCTCAAGGGATCCCAAGTCTACCGCAGGAGAGGAGAAACCGTTAGACAGCGTGTTCGATTCTGCACGGAGAAACAGCTTTCTGCATCGGGGGCTGTTCACCCAGCTGAGTGCTGACATAGACCCAGGAGTCTCACCAGAAGCTCGAAGAAGAACCAGGCGTACTTGAAGACGGTCTCCCTCACCATGCCGGTGCTCACCACCATCTGCAGGGCCAGCTCCTCGTGGAAGTGCTGCAGGACAACCACAAAGACCGTCCGTGACAAGGACAGAGACACGACCATCACGCCCCTTCTCAATGACCAGCTGGGACAGCTCTTCAGGAGCCCTGCTGGTGCGGTGCGCTACGTGTTGGATTGCTAACTGAAAGGTTGTGAGTTCAGATCCACCAGCTACTCTGAGGGAGAGAGGAGGCAGCCTGTAAGATCTGTGGGCCCAAAGGGAGCTATGGTGGCTTAGTGGAAAGAAGTTGTACTGCAGTCTCAAAGGTGCTCGGTTTGAATCCACCAGATGCTCTGCTGGAGAAGGAGGGACAACCTCCTCCTATACCAGTCAGATCCAATTGACACTACACAAACAAAAAAATGATAAGAAATAAAATTTTTAAAAAATTAAAAAATTTGTTGGCCCAGAATGACGCGAGGCCTCTGGGAATCGGATCAACAGGAGGCCAGTGGGTGTGATTGTGGTGATCTCTTTAGACAACCAGCCACTGACCACAGTGGGGTCCAGCTCCTTGTGGACACACGTGGGGTTACCAGCAGTTGGAGCTAACCCCAGGAAGTTGGCTTGTGTGTGGTTTAAACCCCCTCAGACCCAGAATGAACATAAATCATCTGTTTAATTGTTCAGTGGGCAAACAAGTTAAAGGACGCAAACACCCCGACTTCGTGGGGTGCAGGCTCGTGTGGGACTGTTAACGTCAGCACCACAGCAGCATCGATCCCGGGGAGTGTGCGCTCAGCCCTGCCTCCCATCACCCGCAGATGCACACAGCACAGGGTGCTCACTCCGGACGCTAGAAGGAGCCTCTCTGGTGCCCTGGAAGCACCAGCAGCTCCAAGAGGGAAAGGTGGTCCATCTTCCTCTGAGATGGACAGTCTTCGAAAGTCTGCTGACAGGAGGGCAGCTGTGGGTGGGCCCCGACCCCACAGCAACGAGACAATGCAGTAACAGGAGCTTGGGCGATGTCCTGATTAAGTGCTTGGCTGCTACTCAAAAGGCCAATGGTTTGAGACCACCCAGTGGCTCCTTGTGGGAGAGACCTCATAATTTTCTTCCATTAAGATTCCCATCTTGAAAACCCCTTGGGGGATTCTACTCTGTCACATGCAGCGACTGTGAGTAAACAAAACCAGCTCGTGCATGGACATTAAAACGGGTGAGCTACTCAACAAATAAAACCTAGTGCTGTCAAGCGGCTGTGACTCATTGCCACCCTGCAGGACAGGACAGCACCGTCCGCAGGACAGAACAGCACCATCCGCAGGACAGAACAGCACCGTCCGCAGGACAGAACAGCACCGTCCGCAGGACAGAACAGCACCGTCCGCAGGACAGAGGAACACCGCCCACAGGACAGTACCATCCATAGGACAGGGCAGCACCATCCGCAGGACATAAGAGCACCGACAGACAGCTCTGCCCACATAGGGTCTCAAAGGCCGTACTCTTGACAGACACAGCTCTGGTGGCCTAGTGGTAAGGAGTCGTGCTGCCAACCCAAAGGCACACGGTTCAAATCCACTGCTCTGAGGGAAAAAGATGGACCGTGTGGTTTACAGCTGCTGAAAACCTGCTGGAGGGTCAGCTATGAGTCAGTCCTGACTCCTCGGAACAAATCAACAACACAACAGTCTTCAGAAGCAGACCGTCTTATCTCCCCAAAGTATGGATATTGGGCCTGGTTAGCAGTGAGGACTGTGTCACTGTGTCACCAGGACTCCGAGAACTACTTCGTGTCACTAGGAGAGGAACAGAAATCTGTGTGCCACATCTAGTCACTGTCACCCGGCTGTGGCCAGTGCTGGATGCAGGACGCCTCGGTGGGCCTCCTGTCATCAGGTGACGTTCTTAGACCTTCCCTCCCGATTCACCATCTCACGCGCTACAGTCGGCTCCCCCGTGTCGGGGACATCGGCCGTTTACACGCTGTACCTCCAATATGACCATCTCCCCACTGCAGGAAAGGCGAGTCCCAGAAGGATTAGTGGAGGGTAAGCGTCTTAGAGGAATCTGCCTCGCAGAGCACCCTGGTGACAAGAACTTCTAATGAAAATTTACAGAGATTTTGGATTCCAATTCATTCATTGCTGCACTTTCCTCCTTACCCACCCCTCTACTCCAGTAGTTCTTCTCTTTGAAAAGTAAAAGAAAAAAATCTTTCATTGTTATACAGTCCCTCCCCCCGAAGTCCACTCCACTGTGCAGCCTTTGTTCTGGACTCCTGTCATGACAATAATACCTAATCATTCTCTCCGTCATCTGTTTCAATGCAGTGGACATAATTTATCCCACCTCCAGGTTATTTAAGAGCTACTCAGGGAGCCCGCTGTGGAGCTGGTGAGGAAGGTGCTGGCTAACGTCCCTGTGACACGCAGCCACTCCCAATGGGTCATTTCAGGTCAGAACAAAGGCAGCTACAAAACCAAGCACTGGCGCTCCTGTGGCAAACAAGGCCAGCCTCGGAAGCCAGGCTGCGGGCAGACGGGGCCAAGGAAGAGGAAGGACTTGGAAGCGGTCATTGCCAGGGACGAGGCAAAATTTGCCAGAAGTTGGTCCTTAGCATCCCAACACAAGGTCTTCCTTCTATTTCCCCGGCTAATTTCTGGAGCCTCTCCTCAGACACAGAGGGACCTGGACCTCACAGTCTGTGGTCCTGGACCTGGCCACGTCTTTCCTGGTCACTAAGATGTGAGCTCTGGCAAGCACAGACCTGTTTGTGTGCACTAACTCATGAACAATCGCACACGTTTCCACGTCAACGGGGATTCTGCCTCCACTAGGCCTGGGGCCTGTCTCTCTCACCCCCATAGCCCGTTCCTGCAAAATCAAAGCCTCTTCTCAAATGCACAGCCCCTGACGGGCACGGAGGACCCAGTCAGCGTGGAAAGCCCTGGCTTGACCGGGCTTACTGACTAATCTACAATGAACAGTTTCTCATATGGAAAAACTGTCACTGTCGTCAAGGCAGAACTGACTCAGAGCTGAACCGGCGGCAAGTTCTCGGAGGCTGTAAATCAAATGGAGGAGACTGCGGATCTGTCCCCTTCAGAGTCGCTGGTGGGTGAGGACCATGTGAGAGGTGCCTCCTCTGGGTACACAGAGCAACGCCCTGTGAATGAGGCTGCCCGAGCACCAGAGGAAAGAGCGGCAACAGTGTGCGTGTGTGTGTGTGTGTGTGTGTGTGTTTGTGTGTGTAAGCAAGCCAGAGAAGGAATACATCTTAGATGGAGAGTCCCTCTTCTCCACCAGCTCCCACGTCCTGTCCTGGGCTGTCCCCTCCCGACCAGTGTGGTACCTTCTTGCTTGTTGGCCTGGGGGCGGCACTGGAGCCCTGGGCGTCGTTATTGCCAGTGATGTAGTAGGACATCCGGTTGCAGCTGCGGTCAGCGATCTGAAATACACACCCCACGGCTCGACTGTTGGCCAACAGCCCGGCCCCTCACCCCACTGCTCAGCTTGACTGTTGGCCAACATGCTGGCCCCACAACCCAGTGTTAGTCTGTGATTCAGTTCTTACTGTATCTGGTTACAAAGGTAGAACCACTGTTATAAAAATGAAGCAAAGAAGATAAAATGAAACAAATAAATTAGAAAACGAAACAACCCTCTAGTGTGGCGTGGATTCTAACGAACAGCAGCCCTGCATTAGCTTTGAGGCTGTAAATCTTATCGGGAGCAGACTGCCTCATCTTGTTCCCACAGAGCTAATAGTGACGTCAAACTGCTGTCTGTCCAATTAGACACTTAGTGTCTTACACCTCAAACCTTAAAAACCCACTGCCATGGGGTCACACCCCGTTCACAGTGACCCTTCTTTGGGCCACTGCAGCTGTAAATCTTTACAGGAGGAGACTGCCAATCTCTCCCACAGACCAGCTGATAGTGTCCAACCAGTGACCTTTGGATAATGGCTTATTGCATAAACCACTGTGCCATCAGGAGGGCTCCCAACACAAATAAATCATACTTGATTAGGGAGCTCTGGTGGCTTAGTGGTAAGGAATTACACTACCAACCCAAAGGTGTGCAGTTCAAATCCACCAGCTGCTCTGTGGGAGAAAGATCAGCAATCTCCTCCTATGCAGTTTATCGTCTCTGAAAACGCACTGGAGGGCCAGCTGTACGCTAGTTCTGACTTGGCGGTACACTACAACAGTCCACTCCCTCCTGAGACAATAACCAGAAATAGTTCAGTGGGTAGCAAAAATACAGTGGGAAAATTACAACCTGGGGGTATGGCCAGAAAAAGAAAATAAGTGTGTAAATAGTGCCTCTAGGTGGTAAGGTGTGGTACTACATGCTGTCTTCTAATCACTGGATAAATTGTAGTAAAACAAAAAGCAAACAAAAACACCACTTGAAAAGATGGGGTAATAATAGGCATAAGTCAGTAGTAATTAATTTTACATAATACAATGTATATGAATGATTGTATGAAACACACTGTAAATTAAAGACCATGTGAAACACAATGTACGTGAGTAAAACACAGGGATATGAACTTTGTATGCAACCAACATAAAAAAAAAAACCAAGCCCACTCTTGGAAGGAAGGGGCATGCACTATTGTTCTTGCTGGAGAAGCTTTCTATCCCTTCCTACAGAGTCATTAGATGATTGTCCCTGCCAGGCTGCCATCTTTACAGGAGCCACTGCCACATCTTCCTGGCCCCATCCCACCTCCTTGGAGCGGCTGGTGGGTCTGAACCACTGACCTTTCAGTTATCAGCCCAGCACTTAACCACTATGCCACCAGGGATCCCATCAGAGAAAACCAGTTCTGAGAAGAGCCTCTCAGAAGGAGCCCTGACTGTACAGGGTAGTAAGTGATGGGCTGTCAACTCTAAGGTTGGTGGTTTGAATCCAACGGCTGCTCCACAGGAGAAAGATGAGTCCATTTGGAAATGCTGTGAGCAGATCTACTCTGTCCTCTAGGCCACCATGTGCCAGAACTGACCCCTCAGCGAAGAGTTCAGCTTTTGGGGTGGGGGAGAGACTCAAATGCCTCTCTTTCTTCTGTAACTTTAGTTGGAAAGAGTTGAACGTGAGTACGTCTAACCCTGGGTGTGGAAGCATTTTACAGACCCCGTGGATCATCTAATCAAGGCAGAGCCCAGGAAGGCCGTGTGGGTGCAGGACCGCTGCCTCCCTACCTTAGAGGACATGATGCTCTTGACCTCCTCGTCGGCGGTGGAGTGCGCCCCCGCCAGGTCAGGGTTACTGTTGCTCATCACCCGGGACTGCAGCAGCTTGGAGCTCACGGAGGTGGCTGCGGTGCGTCCGTACGTGTGGTACCGGGGATCCGGGAGCGCAGGGGAGCTGCCTGCACCATCAAGCAAAGTATAACACAGACACAGAAAAGGACAAGTAGGTGGTCGAATATCCCCCACCAGGGAGCTGGTGACGGACGTGACCAGCACGGACCTGCAGGAGAATGAGTGAATCTGGGGTGCAGCCTGAGCATCTGTGGAGGCCAGGATGGGAGACTTGGCCTCACACACTTTGGGCCTGCTCTCAGGAGCAGCTTGTCCCTAGAGAGGACATCATGCTTGGAAAGGATCCGTGAACGAGAGGAAGATCCTTCCTAAGACAGACGGACATAGTGACAGCCACACTGGGTCTAAGTGCAGCAGTGACCGCGTGGACGGTGCAGGGCCGGGCAGTGTGTGTTCTGTGGACACAGCGTTGCTACCAGTTGGTGCAGATTCTCAGCATCTGACCACAGACACCTCTTGTCCTGCCCCGTCCTCCTGAGCGTCGCTGCGTCTGAGCCCACAGTGGCAGCCACAGGGCCAGTCCATCTCATGGAGGGGCTTCTTTCTCACCAACCCTCGACTTTACTAAAACCTGACGGCCTTCTCCAGGGACTGGCCCTTCCTGATGGCCCTTCCTGATGGCGTGCCCACAGTATGTGAGACAAACTCTCACCATCCTCGCTGTAAGGGATGTCCTGGCTCCACTTCTGTGAAGACAAGTTTGTCCATTCGTCCGGCTGTACACAGTATATTTAATATTCTTCACCAAGACCTTCATTCAAAGGCATGCACCTTCCTAGTGAATCCTTGTGCACTAACTCTCACATGCACATCCACGGTGGCTGGCAAGACCTGGCCCAAGGCACGTGTCCACGTGGCATCATTTATAACAGGGTTTCTCAAATGGATACTAAATTGGCAACTGGACAAGGGCCCCGGAGGGATCTCGAATGGGCAAATTAAGTGCTTAAAGCACAGCAAAGGGGGGAGGGAAGAACCAGGTTTTCCTGCTGCATTCCCACGAGGTCAGCGGCCCTCCCCTTGGGGCTCTCACCTGGCTTGTGCGGGTCCCTGTGCAGCTCCGGCAGGCGGAAGACGTAGTGGACGTAGGAGGCCAGCAGGCAGTTGCGCCCCTGGTGGTCCTTGCTCAAGTCCTTGCTGTTGTGCAGGCTGTTGGCAATGGCCACCACAGACTCGAAGGCGAACTGGGAGAAGTTGGCTGAGGAGTCAAGAGGAAAAGGGGCGGCCCTGTTAACAAGAAAAAGCCAACAGGGGCCCCAGACCGACTCCACCTCCTGGAGACCCTGGGGTAGCGGGGCAGAGCTGTGCTCTAGAGGGCACTCAGTGGCTGGTAAGTAGATTGCCAGGCCTTTCCTCTGAGGTGCCCTGGAGTAGATTCAAACCTTCAACCTGTCCGCTAGCAGCAGAGCACAATGACTCCACTGGGACACAGTGTGGGAAGCCCTATTTCATGCTAAATATTTGTAATAAACCAAATGCTCTATGAGGATATGAGGGGGGCGGATACAAGCTGGAATTCACCCTGAAGCACTAAGGCAAACCTTAAATGTTTACAGGGGTAGGCAGGAAGGCAAACCGTAGGTGTTTGCAGGATTCCTGTATTGTATTTGCTGACCCCTCCCTCCTGAGTCAAGCATAAGGTTTTCAAGAGAAAGAGCTTGGCTTCATTTGCATTGAATTCTCTTTGTGATTTGCTCCATGGCAACTTTCAATAAAGACACAGGGAAGCTGAGATGGCGCTTCAGTTGTTTGAGGACTGTTGGTCTCCTGCTTTACCTCGTTTTACTTGTACATTCTTGGTGTCCTGTCTCGTTATTAAACTTATTACTACACTTTACCCTCGGTCTACACAGGACACCTCTCTATCTGTAGAACCAGGAAATATGCACCCCTAGATGCCATGCCAAGTGACAGATGAAGAGGAAACCCTCTGCCCAGGACAGGAAGTCCACATGTGGTCAGCCTCTGAGCCACTCCTCACCTCAGAACCCTAACACACATCATGGGTCATCCTCAGGACACTCCCACACCCCATATCCCACAGAGACCCTGGGTGAAGCATGTATGAAATGTGTTTTACTGCTGATGAAAGGTTGGAGGTTCAAGTTCACTTAGAGGTGCCTCAGAGAAAGGCCTGGTGGTGCCTCTTCCATAAGAAAGCAGATTCATGTTTACTGGGGGCTGAGTCATCACACAGTCTGCAGGGGGTCTCACTGCTAACCTAGTGCTCTCTGCTTGTGGATTTGAACTGCCGAACTTTAGGTTAGCATCCCGTATGTAATGCACTATGCCATCAGGGCTCTTTTTACCACCAGGGATCCCCCTGAGAACAGAACCGGACTCGGTACCCATGACCTCACATCCCGGTAGAAAGGAAGAGGGTGGTGTCCCCGCTCCCTGGGCTGGGGGTCCTGCCTTGTAGACAGAGCAAAGCCTCTCACACCTGGTAGCCCCACTGGGCACCCACCTGTCTGGCCGGCGATGACCATGGACTGCACGGACAGCTGGAAGAGCTTGTCCAGCACCAGGTGCAGGAAGAGGACGAGGGGCTCCAGACGGGAGGAGTTGAGGCAGATGATGCTAAGCTTCAGCTCGTGCTCCAGGGCGCCCTCACTGATCTTCTGGTCAAGCACGCGGAGCGGGAAGGTCACCTGGCTCTCCAGGGAGTGGCAAAGTGTGAAGAACCTCTCCAGGTGGTTGTCCTGGCAGACGGCAAGAGGCAGACATGTGGCCCTCCCACCCACGTTCCCACAGCAGCGTCGGACAGCTCTGTCGAGGTAGAATCTTTGAACCAGTATCCCAGCTCTAAGACAAGGTGCTTCAGAGGCAGGTCAGGTGCCTGGGGGACCAGCCTCCTCATCAATGTGGACTAAAGAGACTGTCTCAGTGCTGATGTGGCCTGCTAGCAGAGGCCAACACACCAGATAGACACACCGGCCATAACAGGGTTAAGAACTGCCCGACGATGTACACAGAAATTGTTGACTGGGAGCACGCTATGCTTGGTACGTTCATCAAAAAGAAAATGCATTCTCTTTACACAAAACCCAATAAACTACCATAGGACCCGGCAATGTCAGTCCTGGGCACAGACCTGGCAGAAAGGAAAGCAGGATGCAGACACACACACACATATGAATGGTTACTGCAGTGCTGTTCACAATGTCTATAAGGTGAAAGCCACCCGAGTGTCGGTCAACAGACCAGAGAGGAACATACACTCCATCCACACTTGGAACATCACCCGGCCGTCAAGACAACGACGTCCTTCTCCAACCCTCTACTTTTCCCAGCTCCTCCCAACGACATGCCCAGAGAATGAGAGGCAAGGTTTACACAGAGGGTCAGCCTAAGTGAGATGGCCTGGCCCAGTGACTGCAGTGGTGGGCTCAGCACAGTCCAGACGGGGACGATCTGTTGTTCACAGGGTCGCTATGCAAGATAGTGGACAACAACAGAGAGAATTGGAGTCCTGACACAAAGGACAGCTTGACACTGAGAGAAATCGAGCAGTTACAAGGGGATGAATATTGTGTGAGATATGTAGACTTTCCTACTGTGGCATGGTGGTGCTGGGCATTGAGCTGTTAACCAGAAGATCAGCAGTTCAAATCCACCTGCTGTTCACAGGTAGGAGAAGGCTGGGCAGTCTGTCCCCATTAAGATTTGTATTAAGATTCTGGACAACCAGCTTTGGCTCCATGGTGTTGGGTTTAGTCTGTAGACGCCAGAGTTTATTAGATTATCAAAGGCACGAGCAAAAGGGAAGGAGAGTCGCTGCTGAGGACCCTGGGCTTTGGTTAAGAGGGACAGGAAAGAATGAAAATGGGCAGTGTGACGGACACGACTAATGCCACTGAACCAGGAATGTCAAAAGTATTAAAGTAAAAAAAAAAAGTAAAAAAAAAGTATTAAAGTAGCAAACGTCTTGGTCTATATATTCTTACCACAGTAAAGTTTAAGGAATAAAATAAGAGAGGAGTCTAGGCTAAAACAAAGATCTCTGGTGGTGTTCAGCATAGTTCGGCTAAGGAAAAGGTCAGTGGTTCAAATGCACCCTTCACTCTACAAGAAAGATGAGGCAGTCTGCTTCCGCAAAGATGGCAGCCCTGGGAGCCCTGTTGGCAGTTCTACCCACATAACAGCAGTGAACAAGGACAGGGAGGGAGGGAGGAAGGGAGGGAGGGGCCAGGGACAGGAGGGAGAGAGGGGAGCAGGGAAAGGAGGGAAGGAGGGAGGGGACAGGGACAGGAGGGAGAGAGGGAGGGGACAGGGAAAGGAGGTCAGAAGGCAGAATCACAAGGGCCATGAGCTGACCACAGACTAAAGCCTCAGAGGGCGTCTTTCTGCAAAGCGCTCCAGCCATCTGGGCAGACGCTGTGTCTCTGCACTCAGGAGCTAGAAGGTTTTGTCAGCTTTTTCCAGCCAAAAGCCAAGGAGAAGCTGAGCAGGCTTGTAAGCACCCTTCTCCAAGAACTAAAGGTTCGTCCTGCCGAGTTTTCAAATCCCACCATTGGCCTTGGCCCTTGGGGATGTTTCCCTGTTGCCTCCCCCACGCCCATCTCCAGCCTCGGTTGGTGGCCAGATGTTAAACTTGACATCCTTTACCTGGGTATGAACAGAAGAGACAGCTTGCACTTCGATATTAAACACTCCCTTATGTCCTTCAGCCCACTTGATGGGAGGATTCTGCAAAGGGACTTTCTGTGTTCAAGAAAAACAAATAAAGGAAAAAAGATTAGACATTCAGTCTCCTTTCATGATTACTAGAAACAGAGAGAAGCAGTGTGGAAATCAAGGTCACTCAGATACAAACTCTCCAACCGTCCTGGCGTCCATTCTGACTCCTGCTGCCCGTGTGTGTCAGAGGAGAGCTGGGCTCCACTGGGCTGCCAGGACCTGGCTCCTCAGAACTAGACTACCAGGCCCTTCTTCTGAGGCACCTGTATAGGGACTGGAACCTCCAGCCTTTGGGTTGGTAGCTGTGTGTGTTAACTTTTGCACCTCACAGGGAATTCCTTAAAAACAACCACTACCTCCGTATCTTGATGTTAAAGACAGACTTTGGAATCCCGAGTTTTGAGTTCAAGTTCAATTCTGCTCTAAACTAGTTCTTTATATTTTTGTGAGTCAACGAAAATTCCTAACACACGGGGACCCTGGACACAATGGAACCACATGCTGCCTGTCCTGTGCCGTCCCCGCGTCTGGCTTTCATTGGCTAGTTTGTAGCAGTAGCTCTCGGGCCTGACTCCCTAGTTTACTCTGAAGCCTCACTGATACCTGTCGGGTATCACGCTGTTGGTTGGTGCTGTCGAGTCGAGTCTGACTCTCACTGGGTCCCATGGACAGAGCAAAATGCTGCTGGATTCTGTACCATCCTTGCAAATTGGGCGGAGTCTGAGCCCAGGGCTGCAGTCACTGCATCCACCCACCTCCCTTCTACTTAACCGAGCAGGCTGCCCCTCCTCCAGGGCCTGGGACCGCTGATACCACCACGCTTTCTTTATGTGCAAAACTGGAAAATGTTCCTGTTCAAACTAGCCTGACAGTAACTAACGCTGAATGAGGCTTCCCCACAGGCTACTGCTCCTGTCCTATTGGGATGATGCGATTCAACGCCATTTCACTCAGATCCATAACCAAGATCTGTACGAGCAGCAGTGAGGAAACTGAAGCCGTGTCTCATTGGGCAAACCTGCTGTCAAGGACCTGCACAAAGTGCTAAGAGCAAGGGAATCAGGGTACAGACCAAAGCAGGCCTGATCAGTTATGGGGGTTTCAATTGCTTCCTAAGCATCTGAAAGCTAACAGAGGAATCACTGATGCCTTCGGACTGCGGTGTTGGAGAAGAGTGCTCACTATCCTACCGGCGGCCGAAGGAACTCACACGTGTGTCTTGAGGAAGTGCAAGCAGCGTGCTTCTGAGAGGAAAGGACGGTGAGACTGTGTCTCCCAAACTTAGAGCCTGTGTAGGAAGGGGCCAATCCTTGGGAAAAGATGCCACGCTGGGAAAGACAGAGGATCGGAGGGAGAGAGGAAGACACTTGGCCTGCTGAATGGGCACAGTGATTGTCATAATGTGCTGAGCACGTCAGAGCCGGCGAGGGAGGCAGAGGTCGGAGCAAGGCTCAGAGAGGCCGGAGCAAGGCTCAGGTGTGCTTTCCTTAGCCCTGCAGTGAGTCACAGTCGACTCGATGGCACCTGACAACAACAGCAACGCTGGCCCACAGGCAAGTGTGTCTCGGGCAGCACAGGGGAACGTTATCAGCAGGGGCTCCAAGAGCCTTTGCCATTGACTTGGAATGGACTCATAGTGGACCCCCTAAGTGGGTGTCCAAGGCTGTAGGGTGAACAGGAAGAGAGCGCCCAGCTTTCTCTGTTGGAGCTGCGGGAGGATTTCAAATCCCCAGAGAGGCCTGACCTTTCAGTTTGGGGTACAACAGGCGTGGCCTGGTGGCAAGAAGCTGAGCTGCAATACTGAAGGCACGTGGTTCAAGGCCACCAGCTGCTCTGTAGGAGAAGGATGGGCAATTTCCTCCCACGCGATTAACTGCCTCTGAAAACCTGCTAAAGGGTCAGCTCTGGGTTGATTCCAACTCTACGGTACACAACAACAACAACAACAACAACAACAATAGTAGTCCTTGGAAGAAGACAACACTCCTGGAAAAGCAGGGGGTCCGCGAAGGGGAGGATGACCCTCACTGAGGTGGACTGACATAGTGGCCGTAATGATGGACTTCTGGGCAGTGGACACTGAGTACGGAGCAGGAACGGGCCGGGCTCTGCTCTGCTGGGCACGGGTCAGTGAGTGTCAGAGCTGACTGCATGGCACCTGAATACAACAACAGCCACCACACTAACGTAAAGGCTGGTCGTGGAACCCACCCAGCAGCCCCACGGAGCACAGGACTGGCCATCGGCCTCGGGACAATCAGGCCCTGACGGGCCCTCACAGCTGCTCCTCTCTGAACGCCCGGCGTTTCCACACACAGGAAGCGACTCTGGATTTGCGTGGATTCTTTCCGGCCAATGTGCTCTCAGACAACCCCCTGTGTTGACAGGAGGCTGCCCCCAGAAAGGCACGTGCCCTCTGGGCCATGTGTGACGTGAGGACACGGGGTCTGGGAGGGTGGTCCAGGCGGTGTCCAGGGCCCGGGCGCTGGTTACCTCGGCCGAGTGCAGGGAGTAGTTGGCGGGCAGCTTCTCCAGGGCCACCGGGAGGCAATATGAGCCCGTCTGCAGGCGTTCATTCAGGAGGATGGGCAGCCACTGAAACAGAGGGAGGGTCAGGGCATCACGACAGCTCGCCCACCATCGTCAGACTCAGCTCAACGATGGTTAGATAGTGTGGGCTCTTTGGGGACCTCCCCTACCAGCTCTCTGCATTTCAAATCCCCTGAGCATTTGGGGACTCAGTGTTTGTGTGCGTCTAATGGCTGAAGGGTTTACTTTTCTGTTTTTAAAAATTAGTAACTTAAATAACTTTCCTTCCCTCACTCGCTGGGAACAAAACGAAGCTTGTTTTCCATGTGAAACATCTGTTGTTGTTTGTTGTTGTTGATTGCCTTTGAGTCCAGCACAACTCATAGCGACCCTATGAACAAAAGGCCTGAAGCCCCTCTACAACTATCGACATTTATCGGAGTTCATTGAGTTTCCAGAGGCATGTTGTTTAGGAAGTGGATGGCACTCCTGCTTCCAAAAGCATTTGTGTTTTGAAGCATTTACAGGATATTAAACTGGAGTGCATGCTTGTGCTGTAAGTGAATATCCTCTCAGTACCTGTCAGACGTGAGCTGAGGTCTCCTGTGAGGATGCCAGGCGTCCCTCCTCTTGGTGGCAGGCAGGGAAGCATACGTCACTACTCGTGACAAGAGCAGAGCAAAGGCAAGAGCTTGGAGCTCCTCCTCTGTGCAGGGACCCTGCATGCACCAGGACCCAGGTGACCAGTTCAGGGGTCACTCACCGAATATCCCAGGAGTGTCTCCACAGAGGCCCCCTGCTTCTGCTGGCAGCTGATGTGGTAGAAGGTGAACAGGAGGTGGTGGTTGGCTGTGAGCTTGGCCGGAAGCTTGATTTTCACTTCTTCATAGAAATCGGGAGACCTGATTGAGAAGTGAGACACAGATCACCTTTCCACGTGAGGCATGGCTTCTCTGCTGACCCCTGCTGGCGGCTGGCTTTTCATGTCACAGAATTCAGCACCTGGCCTGGGGGTCCTGGGGGGGCCACCCTCAGGAGGCTGGGGACACTTAACTTACAGAAAGCGGCTTACAGGCGAAAGATCTCAATGGGGAATAATTCCCCCTCACAATGGAAGCATCTCAACAACCTCATTTGAAAAGAGGGTCAGGTATGAGCAGCACAGTGGATTGCATTCTGGACTGATAATCAAGAGGTCAGTGGTTCAAACCCACCAGCCTCTCTGAGGGAGAACAAGGAGGCAGTCTCTGGAAACCCCGATGAATAGCTCTACTCTGTCCCATAAGGTCACTAGGAGTCAGAATCAACTCAGTGTTTGGTAAGAAGCCAGAAGTCTCTCAGGCCAAGCTGAGGAGATCAGACTCTCACCCATCACAGAAGACGGGGGGCTGATGAAAGCGTTACAAGAGGGGGAAATCTCCCCACACAACGGTAGGAAAAATCATCGACTTGGTTTGAAAGGAGGCAAGGTTCAGAATCCTGCGAGGATCCCCTTCTCCGTCTTGACCCTGAGAACACGCTGAGCGTATACACACTCATCAAGCTATTTTCTTGGTTTTTAAAAAAATTTGAATGTGGTAAAATATATATGGCAAAACATTTGCCATTTCAAGCGCCCACGGACATGCATGTTTCACTAAGTACATTCGCCATGCTGTGCAACCATCACCATTATTCATTTCCAAGTATCGTCATCCCCTTCTAAACCCTGGAGTCCGAGGAGTGAACTGGTTTGTGAACTCACTGATAACCCAAAGGAGGGAGGTTCCAGTCTACCCAGAGGCACTGTGGAAGAAAGGCCTGGCAATCTACTCCTTTCCCACTGAGGAGGAGGAGGAGAGCAAAGATCAATAGATCAGCCGGGTGAAGGGAAAGGTAGTATACAGTAAGCAGTTGATGGTTGTTGAGTGCCACAGAGTTGGAACTGGCCCACAGCTGACTGTATTTTAAAATCAGTAAATTGCATGGGAGGAGACTGTCCGTCTTTCTCCTGTGGAGCAGCTGGGGGACTTGAACCACATGCAGGAGCGGCATCCACTTCCTAAACAACACGTCTCTGGAAAACGACGGTACTTTTAGAAAGGCCCCAGGCCTTTTGTTCATAGTGTCGCTATATTGTGCTCAACTCGATGGCAATCAACAACAACTCTTGGGTTGGCAGGGCAGTTCCTTACCACTACGTCACCAGAGCTCCCTGAGGAGCTGATTAGACATTATAATGAATTCCAAGAACTAAATGCAATTAACATCATAAATAAAACATGAATCACTGAATGAAAATGTAGTATGATTTGTAAACTTTCAAGCAAAGAAAAGAACAAAAATCAACTGAAGCCCTGCAGAGCCCCGCTGTGACCTGACAGATGAGTTACCATGAGTCCGTCAACTCGGCCGCAGCTAGTGCCAGACACGCTGACCCCCCCAGATCACAGCACCCCGTTCTCCGCTCACCATGCCTCATCAGAAACCCCCACAGCGGCATCGATTCTGGCTCCTCGGGACCCTCAGTCACATTTCCAAGACTCTAAACCTCAACAAGAGTAGACGGCCTTGTCTTTCTCCAGCAGAACAGATGGTGAATTTGAACCCTTGGCCTCTTGGTTAGCAATCCACCCCATTATGCACTTTACCATAAGAAATTTTGGAACCTGCAAACTCTGGGTAATCCATAGAAGTAGGATTATACACTGTTTGTGATTTTGTGGATCACAGGATTTTAGAGAGACAAGTGAGCGACGTAGGTAAGAAAGGAAACTTGAGTCTCCTGAGTTACTAAACCCCAGAAGCTTCATTTAAGGCTTGATGTGAACGGCCTCGTGTAACATGCATCACAACCCTGGAATGTGAGACCCTTCAGGGGGCCAGGGATGTCAGACCATGCTTGGCTAAGCCTGCACAGATCTTCCTCCCCATCTACGCATGTGAATAAAGATACAGGCCTCATTCTGTGACTTGGCTTATGCACTTGGGCAGAGTGCGCCCCTTGGTCAATGTCATGGACTGGATTGTGTCCCCACAGAGTACATGTCAGCCTGGTTAGGCCATGACTCCCAATATTAACTATGCTGTGTGTTGCCAATCTTAACTTCTGTGATGCTAACACAGGGTTAGAGGCAGTGCTGTGATCACGCAGTCACCGCCGTCATGTGGTTGACAATTCAATCAGTTGCAAGGGGATAAGGGTGGAGAGCAATGAGTTTAATCAGCCACAGGGCTGGGCAGAGAAAGGAAGTTTCCCCAGGATGTGGCCTTTCCTCTCACAAGAGATAAAGGAAGAGAGAGAAGGAGCAGAGAGAGTGACTTCAGGGCCACCAGCAAAACGAGTCAGGAGCAGATCTGGGATCCCTGGATGATAAGCCTCTCAGAGTCAGGACTGTTCCAAGACACAGGGGGGTTGCAAAGGAATGCCAGGACAGCCAGCGCTCCCAGGAGACCAGACCCTCTCTCCCAAACAGAGAGAACGCTTTCTCCTAGAGCGGACCCCCTCAGTTTGCCTCCGGCCTCCTTGATCATGATAACATTTCTGTTGCAGCGTGTTAGCTGCTGAGACAGGCAGCTCATGAGGCTGTGGGGTGATGTCTGGAAGATGAGGAGACAGTGTGGGGAGAGCTGCCCCAGTGTCTCAAAGCATATACTCTCTTAGCATTATGCAAGAGAGTTCTAGAAAAGTCAAAGCAATATTAATTTCTTTTATTTTTTTTAATTTATTTTGTGTGTGTGTGTGTGTACCGTGAAATCGGATCTGACTGGTACAGGATGAGATTGTTCCTCCTTCTCCAGCAGAGCATCTAGTGGATTTGAACTGCGCGCCTCTGGGATTGCAGTGAGCTTCTTGCCACTAGGCCACCAGAGCTCTCCCTCAATATGAGTTTCTTAAAGACTTGTTCTCTAAATCTTAGATGGAGCACATCCCACAGAGAACCATGGAATGAGCAGGGCTTTCCTCTGTGTGTGAGGCCCTTGGTAAAAACATTTGTGGGAGGAATCACCTGGAAAACTCAGAAAATACAGGAGATGGTGGAACCACCCTGGCAGACGCTCAGAACTCCAGAATACACTTACTTATTATGGTATGTGATGGCCGTGTACACTTCCTGCAGGAATTCAGGCCCACTGGACTTTCCAAAGATGACCTGTCCACAAAGTAGAAAAGGTCAAGTTAACAGTGACCTTTAAATCTATCCAGTCCATAGTCATCAGCCCAATTCAATGTTCTGGATTTGCACAGCTCTGTGGAAGCAGGAGTGGCATCCACTTCCTAAACCACATGCCTCCGGAAACTCTATGAACTTTGATAAATGTCGATAGTTGTAAAGGGGCTTCAGGCCTTTTGTTCATAGGATCTCTATGAGTCATGCTTGACATGAAGGCAGTCAACAACAACAACAACATGCCTTATAAACCAAGAGTGCTGGGTTCTATCAGTTCAAATCCGCCCAGTAGTGCCTCATATGAAACACCTGGTGATCTACTTTTACAAAAATCAGCCAATGAAAGCTGGAGCCAAGTCATCCGACACACGTGGGTCAGCAGGAGATGGAGTGGACACAGCAACTGGTGTAAAGTTCACAGATAAGTTCTTTTCTTGGATCCACAATCAGCACTTGTGGAAGCGGAAGCCAAGAAATCAGAGGGCAGAGTGTTGGGCAAATATGCTGTAGAGCGAGCTCTTTTTTTTTTTTTTTTTAAATTTTATTATTTTGTGTGCGTGTACCGTCAAATCAGATCTGACTGGTACGGGAGGAGGTTGCTCCTCCTTCTCCGGCACAGCATCTGGTGGATTTGAACCGTGTTCCTCTGGGATTGAAGTGCAGCTTCTTGCCACTAGGCCACCAGAGCTCCCCAGAGTGAGCTCTTTAAAAGCGCTGAAGAGTAAGAACACACCGCAAAGACTAAGGTGTTTTTAACCCGAGCCAGGGTCTTTTCAATTGGTTCACCTGCTTGTAAACGCTGGACAATGAACAAGGAAGAATGACGGAGGGCTGATAGCCCTGAGCTGTGGTGAGGAGGACAGAGTATAGCGCAGATCACCAAAAGGACAAAGCAGCCTGTCCACAAGGAAGTGAAGCCAGGATGTCCCTTAGTGGTGAGGACGGTAAAACGCCATCTCTCATACTTTGAAGAAGAACCGTCCTTGGAAATGCAGAAGGTCATTGAGGGAGAGGGAGAGGCTGAAGGGGGTGAATGGCCATGGTGACTGGAACAGCGAGCGCACCCAGCAGGGTGTGAGGCTGGTGTGGGGCAGACAGGACAGCACTTTGTTCTATCGTGTGTGACAGCTGAGTCAGCAACATCTCAAACAACAGCAGCTCTTGTCCACATGCACGTACAGGCGCGTTGAGTCCAGCCTGGTCAGAAGGAAGGAGTCCCTCCTTACCGGCATAGCACTGCTGGGATCCTCTCCGCACATAAACTGGATCTTTATCGTAATGTTCCGGGCAGATGCCAACTTGTTGGCAAAGTTCAGCCTCTGTGGATAAACGTAGAGAAGGTTTCTGAAAGAGAACAGACGAAGACTCAGTGAGCAAGGACTGGAGGTCACTGAACCGAGTGCCGCTTGGCAGGCCGAGGCCTGTGCTCCTGGGAGACCAGAGGGAAGCAGCAGTGAACGGGCTGGAAGGAGTCAGTTTACGGGGCTCCTCCTTTCAGGAGCGGATGATTTTAAGGGGAGTGAGGATGTGATGGTTGATTCTTCCTCCTCAACTAGCTGCATCTGATCCTGACCGGCAGTCCCATCCTTCTGGGCCTGGTACTTACAGAGATAAAGGGGTGCAGCTTAGGAAGTCCCCACATTTGGGAGTGCAGAGGTCTGCCCAGAATTCACTGCACCCCCAAGAGTTAGAGAAGAATGGCTCAGGCCAGCCTCAACCCAAGTCATGACCAGGGGAGATGGCCTCGTCTCGTCTCAGCTCGTCTCAGCTCAGCTTAGCTCGTGTCTGTTCTTTCTCAAATCTTTTTGTCATCATTTAAACTCTCCACTGGTGTTACTGCTGTGCTGCTATTTTCAAAGGCCTATTATTTCAGAGGTAGATGGCCAGGCCTTTCTTCCTAGTCTCCCTTCGTTTTCTGGAAGCTCATCTAACCCTGTGCACACGGGCGGCCTGGTTGGAATTTGAAGCTCTGTTGGCTTGGTATCCAGCCTCAGCCTCATTCACGCCACTGCAGCGCAGTAAGCCGATAGAACCCTCCTCGACGTTCTTAGCAGCAAACCCTCTCAGAGCCAGAAAGCTCCAGAGACGCGGGGACGGAGAGACGTGGTCTCACATATTCTAGACATAACAGCAGGAGAGAGCAGTCCCTGGAGGAAGTCCCTGTCGACGCTTGGTCAGCCGAGGAGAGGAAGCCCCTCAACAACGTGGACTGACATGGTGACCACCACAGTGCGCTCACAGTACCAACTGGAGGATGGCACAGGACCGGGCGAGGTTCCACTCTCCGGTTCACTGGGCTGTGAGGAGTCACAGCCGGCTTTACGGCACCGCCAATTGCACCACACTCACTCTGCTGGCCCAGCTTCACTTTCTTGTATCATGTGAGAGCTGAAACCCACCAGGCTCCATCTAGCTACGAACACTCACTGTCGCCAAGCCAGGGGGGCCTCACAGCCGACCTTGCACTGGGCTTCTGAGGCTGTAAATCTCACGGGAAGAGATTTCCCATCTCTGTTCCTCAGGGTGACTGGTGCATTCAGACTACACCACCCTTCCATGGAGTTACAGGGTAATAATAAAGCACCAGTAGACGCATAAAGACGACACACAGTTCCTGACCAACTCCAGGCCAGGGTCTGGGCTGCGCAGAATTCTGCATGTATTTCTCTTTCATTTATACCACTGAAGGCTGTGCCGTTCTGGTAGTTGAAGCCACCAGCAGCTCCTGGCGAGAAAGCTGGGCAATCTCTTCCAGTGCCGTTTACAGCCTCGGAAACCCAGTGCTGGGCCGGCAAGGCCTGGGCTCCGACCGGACAGCAGCCAGAGTGAGTTTTCCATGAGAAAGGAGCCTGGTGGCACCGTGCATGAGCGCTCGGCAGCTGTGAACGTTGTGGAGGTTTGTTTCTGTAAAGACTGCAACTCAGAAGCGCCATGAGGGGGGCTCCTCTGTCCTGCAGGGTGGCTGCCAGTCGGAATCACCCCAAGGCTGCGGGTCTGGCTTACAGAATTCCGTACTCCTCTCCTGCTCCTTCCAGGGAGCCCTGCCACCTTGGCCCTCCACACCCAGCCCTGCTCAGCAGTTGTGTCAGATGATGGTCAAGGGGACACTGGCTCTGTTCAAATGCCACCACGAGGCCCGGGGTCCTCAGCAGGCTGCTTGACGGCACATAATTTGTAAGAAAACCTTGAGGGAGAGCAAGACAGATGGCACGACCCAGCAAGCCTGTCTACAAGGCAGCAGGTCAACTCGCAGAAGTGCTGAGTGTAAAATGATTTCTCTTCTCTCTGCTCCCTGCTGGCGGGCTGAAGCCCACTCACAGCTGGCTGTCCAGCGGGTCTCCTAGGCCGTGAGTTATGCTGGAGCACACTGTCCATCTTCTCCTCAGCCCCTCTGCTGAACTCGAGTCACTGGGGAGGCACCATTCGGGGGTCAGCAGTGCCACTGCCGATGGGCGATGCCAGCAGAGCTCAAGAAGGCGCAGTTCCCATCATTTCCCCTCGACAACAAGGCCAAGGGCTAAGTTTTGCCGTGTTGCTGTTAGGTGCCTTTGATTTCGACTCATAGAGATGCTTTGAACAGCCAACCTGAACCCTGCCTGTCCTGTGCCGTCCTCATCATCCCTTAAGCACTCGAGCCCGTTGCTGAAGTCACTGTGTCAATCCATATCATGGGGTGTTTCTCTCCTCCGCTGACCCCCATCTTTCCAAGGATGCTATCCCTCTCCAGTGAATTCATCTGAATTGCCTACCTACACGTCCTAAGTATGAAACATGAAGGTTTGCCATCTTTGCCTCCACGAAGATCTTGGGCTGTACTTTCTCCAAGATGTATCTCTCTGTTCTCTTGGCCATCAGTTCAATGTTCAGTGCTCTTCTCCAACTCACAACCCAAAGGTATCAATTCTTCTGCCATCCTTATTCTGTCCATTTCTCAGACTCACAGCAAGTGATTGAAAAGGCCTGAATCAGACACACCTTAGTCGTCAAGCTGACATTGCTCCTCAGTAACTTGGGTTGGTCCCTGACTACAGACTTTCCTACTGTACACAGGGTCTGTGTGAGTGAAGAAGTACGTGCATCTGGGACATTCTTGAGCTGCAAGGATGGTGAAGCTTAGTCCCACATACTCTGAGAATATCGTCAGGAGGGGCCAGAAACTGGAAAAAGGACACTGCACTGGTGAAAGCAGAAGGTCAGAGGAAGACAGACCCTCGATGAACTGTATTGACACGTGACTCTAACAACGGGCTCCAATGTGGCAGTGACCGTAAGAACGGGTCAGGACCAGGCGCGGTTCCAGCTGCTGTATGTAGGGTCTCTGTGGCTGGACCTGAATCAAGAACATCCAACAAAGACTTGTCTAGAAAGCCTTTAATAAGACTGGGTTTCTCCTAAGTGGCAGAGACAGGACTCCTTTAAATGAGAAAGAACTATTTCAGAAATGCAGCCGCGCCTGCCTCCCACCTGCTATTTATTCTCCATCTCGGAGGGCTCAACCTGTTGTGTGAGGTGCTATCGGGTCGACCTGGCTTGCCAGGAACGCGTGTCCAGCAGCTGAGCTTCTTCACGACCTCTCTGCACCTGAGCGTGTTGTTATGACCACTGCATCAGCCCACCTCCTGGAGGGTCTTCCTCTCCTTTCCTGACCCTCCGCTTTCTGGAGCATGAAGACCTTCTCCAGGGCCTGGTCCTCCTGACGGCAAGCTCCAAGTGTATCAGATGAAGTCTCACCATCCTTGCCTCTCAGGAGAGCCCAGGTTGTATGTCTTAATGACAGGTACTTTACATAAAGAATTGAATGCATTTTATTATTTAAACTGGGTGGGGGTAAAGTTTGTAGTGAGGAGTATAGAGAAAGTGGAGGAGAGAATATTTTGGGGTGCTAGGCATTGAGTGACAGTCTCAGGACCCCATTCCTGAAGTACAACTTGGTGTTATTTTAAATATTTACTTTATGACTATATATAGGAAAACATTCTTAATCTGAAAATAGCCTTTCTGGACTCAATCCAGTCTCGAACTAAGTCTAAACACTCAGGAATTTCTGAAAATACAAATAACCTTCCTTCAGCCCTACTTTTGGTACCGTTATCAGAACAAATTAAGTTCTTGCTCCTCGAGAGGCTGGGAGAGGCCAGATAAGAACAGACGATGAGGGTGAATGTAAATCTCTTTCTTCCTCCCTTAAGAAAATAGTATTTTTAACAAAAGCCTCCTTCCCTCTAACTCCACATTAAGAACAACGCAAAGTTTCCATAATATCTGGCTTTGTTCAAAGACCTAAAATTCAAGTAGAGAGGCACTGTTGAGAGCTCTGGTGAATTAAGGGCTGAGCTGCTAACTTAAAGGTTACAAGTTCAAGCCCACTTGTTGCTACAGAGAGGAACGATGAGGCAGTCTGCTTCCACAGAAATTTCTAGAGTTGGAAACCCTCTGGGGCAGCTCTACCCCATGTCAGAATCTACCTGATGGCAGCAGGGTTGTTTCAGTGCCAAACCTGACAATGCAGTGTTTACAAAAGCGACTGGACAACAGGTCAGGATAGCGGGCTGCCCTGCTCAGCCTGTCCGCACCACTCAGGGGAAAGGAGACATTCTTTCCGAGCTCTGCAAAGTTTCCTAAAGCAGATGTGCCAGCCAACGACACCACACCCACGTGTCAGAGCAGTCCCCACATTCCCAGTTGCTGACCGGATGCTGAGAATCATTTCTTCTGGCTTAACAAGAAGGACGGGCAATCTCCTCCCATGAAAATCTCCTGCCCCTGAAAACCTGCTGGAGGGCCAGTGGTGGGTCGGTTCCAGGTTCTAAGTCTACAGAACACAACTATACACACACATTCACTCACACACACACACACACACACACACACACAAAGCCCTTTAAACAACGTGTGTGTGTGTGTGTGTGTGTGTGTGTGTGTGTGTGTAGAACACTAGTGGCCTAGTGGCAACGAGCTACACCACAATCCCAAAGGTACGTAGTTTCAATCCACCAGCTGCTCTATGCAAGGACGATGAGCAATCTTATCTTTCTTTAGAATAACTGCTTCTGAAAATCCACAGAAGGGGGGATATATACATATATATATATTTGTGTTGTGTATCATCATTCAGAAAAAGCCCATAGCTGACCCTCTGGTGGGTTTTCAGAGACAGTTAATCACATGGGAGGGGACACTGTCCATCATTCTCCAGCAGAGCTGCCGGTGGCCTTGAACTGTGTGTCTTCAGGATTGCAATACACACAGCCATTCAACCCATTCACTTATTCTATCTGTATGCTGAGCAACATGTTTGAGAAGCTGGTCTCTATGAAGAAGAGTGTGGCATCAAGATCAGAGGA